TTTCATCCACAACAGACAGCCCATGCCAATGTGACCTGCTTGCTGAACACTTTTCAAGGGGGGTAGGGGGGCTCAATTCAGCAGAACACTGCTGAGCCATGCACATCTGCATAAGTTGCTGTCAGACTGGAGATAGTATTGTGGATTGTTGGGTTATCATAAAGGGAACAGCTTTTGTGTCAGCCCTGTGGAATACTAAGTGTTTGTATTTGCAACACAACATTTATCCTGGGGTATTCTTTTTTTTATTTTCTATGGCCCTTGTATGGTAATTCATCATCCAGGTCCTGATGGATACTGTGAGAGTGCCCAGTGAATGTATTAGCCACTGGCTGCACATTCCCTCGGGATATTTTGTGTATGAAAACTATAAGAACTATCAGCCCTCAGTGAAAACCACCCTGCAGAATTTGTTTTTTCCCCCTTTTTTTTTTGTCCTCCAAAAGAACATAAAAAGCTCTTCTTGGCAGAAAGGAAATGGAGGTTCAGATTGTGGGCGACCACTCTGTGGCTTCTTTACTATGCTTAAGCTTCAAAAGCAGGTAATTTCACTCTGGTCAGAGGGAACGGAAACAGCCTAGGTGAGCAATGTGGTGGAGGTTTAATAATGGAAACCAAGGTCTCAAGGGACAAGTCCATCTTTCTGAGCAACAGAGAAACTCCATTACCCTCAGTGTTTCTTTGACTAATGCAACGTCTTATTCGTAATTGAAAATCAGAGGTGTGTTGTTGCGCGCAGATCAAAAGCACAAACGTGGAGTGGTGTCCTGTATGCCACCTTTAGAAACCTTGAGACAGAGCCAGAAATATCCATAAAGGTAGAAATGATCTGAAACAGTGATTACATTTTTTGTCAGGCATACCCCTCGCATCCCTAGATGAGCTCAAGAGCCCCTTCACCACCCTTCATGGTTTTAAAGTGGATGTTAAGTAACACTATACATAAAAGTGAATATTACAGTATTTTTTTTTTTCATACAATACAATGGTCTATTTTTAGGTTGGTTTGATGACGTTTGCTTTCCTACGGCTAGAAGCCCGACCCTCAAACCCTTTAACCTCTACGTTTAGCTAATAATTTAATTTCTTTTAGTCATATATTTTAAGTGTTTATCCATTAATTGTAGCTAATTATTTTTACTGTTCACCCATGAGTTTAAGCTAATTATTTCAACTGTATATGCATTTCTTTTAGCCATATAATTTACGTGTTTATCTATTAATTGCAGCTAATTATTTCAACTGTTTATTCATTAATTGCAGTTAATTATTTCAACTGTTTATTCATTCATTTTTAGCTACTTATCCATTACTTTTAGTTTAACCAAATTAACTCTCCTCACTACTTTTCTTGGATAAAACCTTCCAGCTGACTCAGGTTGGTGTGAGGTTTGTACTCTGCAGTCAGACTGTGGCAGCTGGTAGTTTACAGGTTACTGTAACAATAAATCTACTAAAGATTAGCGTCAAACCAATTTGTAATTCTGATTGTATGTTTTATTTTCCTCCCAAATTAATTCCTAAATTTCTGTTTTCCTTAATTAGTTGAACGGCTCCGCAACCTTTCCACATACGCCCGGGAATCAGTGATCTAAAAACACCAGCTGGGCAGAAGTTCTGTTCTGTTCTGAGTATTTTACTGTTTACTGAGTTACTGTCGTTAAATGGTTTTAAAAAGCCCTTTTAGAAGAGTTACACATATGGCATACCTTTGTCATTTGCTGACGATTCTTTTTGAGCAGCACTTGCATTTATCTTTGGCCAGTTACCCCCTTTCATACTTAATAGTCCTCCAGTTCTGGAAGTTTGTGGGTGTGCTTCCTTGTAAACTAATTAATTGCTTTAATGATGTGAGACCTGAATACGTGACTCACAGTACAGTAAGAGTTTTTCCACCAGTTATTTCTTATCTTCTTTACAAGAAGGACAGGCACTGTCTCCTGATTTACAGCTGCTTGTGCATCTTCTGTAGTCAACATATTCATCACTGAAAGTGACATTGCATTATGCTGCCTCTCCTCTGGGGGATGTTAACATTAAACATCATGCTCATGCAGCATCATGATAGCCCAGAGGGTGCTTTGCAGGGGAAGAGTGTGTGTGAAAACTTCCATATTAAAAGCATTACAAAGAGCAGATTTTTCACTCCCACCACCCTCATGAAAAATGTACAGCGGCATATTCATTACTTCATTGAGTTAACTGAGTGTGACAAGCGGAGAGCTGCAGCAACCGGGGGCAGGGAAGCAGCACTACAATAAAGCCTTCGGCCACTCTCTGAGGACATGGCTACCCCCGCCGCTCATGGGAGCTTCATCCCTGCACTCTGTTTGGATTTTTCCAAATGGTTGAGGGTGCTGCACACAGCATGAGACAGAGTTCACTTCAGCCAATTTGCCCTCTAATCTAATGCATGCATGGTCATCGGGCGGTAATCAATTTACTGCCTTTACAGGGTGATGAATATGACCCATGAGCTATGACTTAGGGCCCTGATGCTATAAATATGGTCATGCATTTTCCTCAGTTAACAAGACACACAGAACACAAAAAGTGGATGCATTAAGCATCAGACGGGGCTCTTTGTGTGAACTGCATTGTATATCATGCATACAAAGAAACAACTGGGACTTTCATGAAATATAACCGCACAGGTATCCGCAGGTGCCTAATGCATCACAGCTTTAGAAATGTCACTGAACATTAATATCTGTCAGTCATCTGTTCCCATTTATCTGTTTAATTTCTTGAAGCGCTGATTCCCCAGCACAGCCAGTGATGAAGGATGCTGTCTTTCTATATTTTGGAGCACCCTCTCCCCTCTTGGATGATCCATTGCCTGCACCCGGTGGCCATATCTCCTCCTGGCCCTGCCTGTCTGATCCAAAGGTGTCATCCTGGGTCACCCTCAGCCCTGTTGTCTGATTAACAAAAATAATGCCCTGCCCAGAGCAGCATCAGCCCATATTGTCTTCATCTACAACACTACAATTATGACTTTGCTTTGATGACCCTCTACAGCCGCAGCAGCAGCAGGAGCAGCAGCAACAATGTCTCTTAATCCAGAGCAACAGTTTCCCTCAGATGAATGCAGCCTGCAAATTAATGGCTGCTGCATTGTAGCATTGGGCCCAGCACCATGGGCAAAATGTGAGATTTAAATAATTTCTGAGACTGTGGAGGAGTCTAGAGAATGGCAGACAAGCTGACTAATAACAGGGGATGCAGTAACAAGGGCTGCTCCAATGGTAATGACTCCTCACTCCAGAAATATCTGATTCCCTGCAAAAAATACAGTCATCTCAGGCTGAGGTTGGTATTTAAATTCCTGCAACAACAAAAAAGAAAAAGCCGTGAAATAATTGGGATACAAAACATTGGGGGAATATAATGTGGAGTACGGAGGAATTTCTGATATGGGAATAATTAATGGAGTCCAAATGCAATAAATCATGTGGACCTCTGGACCTATATAACCTCATTATAAATCTATGAATATACAATCAGCACAGCACTCATGAGACAAAAGACTGATGCAACAACTGGAATGTTTTCTATCTGGAGAGAGATTTCAAAAGGAGCCCACATTAGATCTCACAAGTGTCATTTTATGCTCTCCTTTTGTGGAGGAACATTGTGTGGGAGTTGGGCATGTTCACCACTCAGTTATCAGAATAACTTTAATTAGGCTATTTTTAACACATCCTCTCCAACAGCTCTTGGGTGTTTACATTTGCTAATGACAGCCTGAGTAAAAATCATCTATCAGCAAGCATCACCATCATGCCACTGACACATTAACATGGATCCTCTCCCAAGAAAAAAAGGCCACCTAGCGAGAGTGCTTTCACAATTTATATAAAGCGTGCATGTCGCTTCAGCATGTGTGTCCATATATTTATGTGGCATATGCATTTGCACATCAGAACACCCGAGCAAACTAATTAATAGGCACAGAGGCACATAGTATTTGGTGTTTTGTTTTTGCTCCAGCGAATATAAGACAGCTCTTTCAAGCCAGAGCATTCACCAGATTACACCCTTTGTAAAAACACTTTCTACATCCGTGCGATTTACATAATTTTCATTTAGTTTACCGTCAACTTTAAAAACACGGCGTACATTAGAAGTTTCACTGTCAACTGACAGCACTTCTGGCTGAGAATTATACCTTATTTAGCCCGCATGCACAAAGGAAAATAATTTTAATATTTCTTAAGGGACTTAAAAGTGTGTCTGAGGTATTCAGTATTGGGTTTATGGTCACCTTGTTGTACTATAATGGTATTTTTAATGTCATCATTTATCATCATAATATTACAACTGGGACTTAGATTTTTTTGCTCTGATATTTGTGGTCTGTCATTAAATTCATAAGGGACAGGGCAGCATACACAGGCATGTTTCTGGTGTTATAATCTGACAATACAGGCTCTTTTACTCCATCTAGTGGTCACTTTGAGGAAAAGCAGACAACTACTATCTTCTATGAAGGAGAAAAACAGCCTATTTAGAAAGAAAAAACCAAAACAATTCCTAACCCATCACAAGAAGTAATGTAGCACTCTCTCGGGAGGGTCAGTTCTCTAAACCCTGAGGCGGGGCCGAGTCTTCTCATTATTATTTGCCACCAAAACACTTCTGTCTGGAGTCATTTTCCCGGGACAGTGGCTGCCCCTGACGACTGACAAAACATTTTTATTTGGCCAGAGTGATAAATTAGTAGTTGTAAGTTGCCAAAATATAGCAGCTCAGAGGACACATTATTGCCTGTGAATGCTCCCCTGAGGTGAATTATTGGTGTGTGTGGCATCCAAAATAGATACAGGGGGTGTTTATTATACGTCTGTTCTCCATACAGAATAAACGTTCACACATAAAGGTATGCGGAGCTACACACCTCCACAGCCCGCAGGTCATGCTGCCTCCCCGCGTGTCTGTAATTTGATCCGAGCTGCAAACAAAGCCAGTCTCTGGGCAACCATCTCTCACTGCATCATTATAGCTGACATCAGATCTATGACCTGCTCTGCCAAACGCACACACACTCATGGGAACACACACACACACTCAATAGAGCTTCTCCCCTGGTAATAATGACTGCAGTTTTGGATCCCTCCAGGCCGTTCTCTGCAGACCTACAAGTCATCAGACGGTTGAACTCCAGTCTCTACGGGGCTGGTGGCAGAGAAACTGGACGTGCAAACTCTCCTTACGCTAGATTTCACCCCCCTGCAGAGCACGTCGCCCTGGCTCCCTTACGAGACGACGTCCCCTTGCTGGATCCTTGCTGCGGTCAGCTCAGCGCCGGAGCAGAGGTGGACCTGGGGGTCAAAGGTCGGCATAAATTCATAGATTTCCATCATGTGGCCTCTGCTCTGCGGGTCCCTCCAGGTTCCAGAGAGAGGCCGCAAACAGTCTCAAACCCTGCTGGCATCTGTATAGATTGGAGAGAAGACAAGGCCTGGAACTCCAGGAGGATCCCTGATGCAGTCTTAAGAGCAAGACTCAGTGGTAAAATAACAATATGTTTACCTGTGCTCCAAATAACACTGTCGGTATTAATACTCATATCTGTTGCCTATCATGATTTATATTGGGTGCTGTGTAGGTCAGAGTTATGATGTGGGGCAGGGTATCTACTGAAGAGAAGTCAGGGCTGGTTTAGCTGCGGGGCAACAAAATAAACTGCAACTAGACTAGAGCTGATTTAATTAGTCAATTAACTGATTAGTTGATTGACATAAAATTAATTTGCAGCAATTTAATTTGAGTATTTTTTCCAACAGTCAGGTCTGAAGATTTCCAGCTTTCATTTGTCTTTTATGAGAGTGAAACTGAATATCTTTGAGATCTGGACTGTTGTCTGATCAGGTCACCTTGAGCTCTCGAAAGCCGTTTTATTCACTATCTCTGGACATTTTATCTGACAAACAATTAATAGATTAATCAAGAAACTAACTGCTAGATTAATTAATATTGTCTCAGTCGATCACTTTGACCCCAAAGGGCAATCACCCAGCACCACTGCTGTGTGTGATTTACATAATTTCCATTTAGTTTACTGTCAACAAAGAAGACAGGTCACATTTAAAGTTTCTCTATCAACCAACATCACTTCTGGTTGAGAATGTATCTTTTTAGCCTGCATGTACACTATATCATTATAATTGGCAGATTAGTCAATGTTGTCTTAATTGGAAAGGGCAATCACCCCTTTCCTGATATGCACTCAGGAAACAATCACCTACAGCACCACTGCTGGCTGTGGTTGGATGTGGTCAGACGTTTGCAGGAGATCAGCAAAAACAAGATTTTCAGTGTTTCAGTTACTCTTGACATTTTAAAACAATTAAAGTTAAATTATGAGTAAAGTCATTAGTTTCTGCCTTATTAACGGCCTTAAGGTGGCTCCTGTCTGTGAGGCCTTGTGTCATAATCTAGTTTTATAACCTTTGTTGTTCTGCCCTCTGAGTGCATTTAATATATGTTAAATAAGACTTAGGCTATTGCAGTGCTCCCTCCTGGTCATTGCACAGCAGTAGTATTATTGCAGGCCCACTTTATATGAGACAGGCTGCAGGAGGCTTCTTCTTACTTGTTCCTTGGGCACTGTTTGTTAGTGCGTAAGTATTCTGTTAGCTGGTAGTTAGCGAAACCTGGTAGCCATGTGACTTCATGTTTCTGAATGTTGTAGCCTCAGCTACACAGTATATAAATATATGTTGGTTTTAATCTGCTTCCTATTGGCTTGTATTTCAGTTACATATGTGACACTTATTAAATGTCCACTAAATGTTTGGCCTTGTGTTTATTGGAGCACTTATTTGCTTACTCTTTAGCTATTAAACTCATTGCAGGGACACATATTCACTCTTTACATGTTGCATACGTTTCCATTTAATCTAATTATTATAAACAGACAGAGAACAAACTAGTATCAAGAACAGGAGTGCTAGTTGGTGTCTGCATCTCGCCATCTCTAAAACACTGAATTATTAAGCTGCCATTTATAGTCTGCTGTGTTACTCTGTACCTGATTTGTGCCTCAGGGCCCCCTCATGGGGTAGTCTGGCCTTGAGAGCAGTTGCTACTGTGCAATTCACAATCCGCCCGCGCTGTGTCATCCTAAGGTTCAAGCAGTCCAGTTAAAGTTCAAACACATCCTCTGAGGACGTCAACTAAAGCAACTTCGCACAGCAGTTTCCCTGATAAACACAGTGGACCTCAGGTGGGTGACGACTGAATTAGCTTTCCACTAAACAAGCACTTATTCACTTATTAGTATTCATATTCCATATGCAGAGGGATTGATATGAAGTTTTGTTTTCATTTTCCTTCATTTTTCCTGTTTAACTCTCTGAGCACATAAACACTTGTTGATTTACGCATTCAATTTACTGCATTGTAGACACGGCAAACATTTGGTTGAACTAATGCCGGCTTAGTAAGACGAAGTAGTTATTATTACATTTCATTAGATCACTGGTGTAAATCATAACACAAACACATATTAGATATGAAATAATAACCCATAAACACACACACGCCTCCCTTGGGGCTCACCACACATGTTGAGGGATCCCATTACTGTTATGTGGGCAGGTGTTCACAGTGAGAACATAATCATGCTGTATTATTATTATTACTATTATTTAGTTTCTGAGTCTGCTAATTGAAGTAATCATTAGTAGCTCCACATACATTATTGTGGTTGATGAGAAGCTTTACAGCTGATGTGAAGAGTTGTAAGTGTTCTCCAGTGAATGGAGGCTTGATTGGTGGCTGTATTTATGTAGTTTGAGACGTGGGAGGAGATTGGTGAATATAATGCTGCCTGTTAATGTTAAAAACATTAAAACTGTTTGATTGGCTCATTCAGATTCACACGAGAGATAATATCTTTATGTTTGTCTTTACTTTTGTTTTGGATTAGTTATTTAGACAAAACATCCTGACATGTTGTGCTTTTAGTCAGTCAGTCCACCGCTTTGGTCCAGACTAAAATATCTGATTGCCATTAAACGTGTACAGATATTCATTTATTCCCTGAGGATTAATCCTAATTCTGGGATTGTTCAGTGTTGTGGTCTTTTAGGGAAATGTCTCAACAACTGATAACGGATAAATAGTAATGACTTTGGTGGTCCTTTCAGTTTTCATTTTTTTCATCTTCAGATGAAAAATATACTTTGTGTTTAGTGTCAATATACCTGTGATACTAATTAAGGCGCTGTTCCATTTAGTGTAGCAGTTTCCAGTGAGCCAACATGCCCAATAGCAGCAGCCTGACTCTGTTTGACCTGAATGTAACACTCAGTTATCACTGGTAACACCTGTGTTTACCCTACTGTTTAATGTCAAAGTAGCTGCTGTGAGAAAGGCCTATTTGCAAGTTTTAGCGTGCTAATGGGCTAAACTAAGACGGGGAACACGGTACAACATTATACCTGCTAAACATCTGCATGTTTGCATCGTCACTTTGAGCATGTTAGTGCAGCATTTAGCTCAAAGCATTGCTGTGTCTAAGTGCTTGTGTGTAGTTTAATTCTATGTCCGGATATTTTTGTAATTTTCTTGATCCTATTATCCATCTACAGTTATTGCAAGGGTTTTAACTGAGGTGAATTTGTGCAGGCTGCCATCAGACTTACAAGTATCAGAGATCATTTAAGCTCATTAGGCTGGTGTTAGAGGCATGATACCGCTCATGTGAATAAACGATTATCTTGGAAGCTAAATTAAATCCAACGTGCCATCTGGAATAACACAGCACACTTCTTTTGGGAAAAATTAGTATACCCTGGTTCTTGTACAACACATCCTGTGAGGACTAGTCTTCTGGTAGTACCATGAACAAGTTGTATGATGAGAACTGTTCTGTATAAAGCTTCTTCTGCTTATAATATTGCTCCTCGCCAACATCAGACAGATCAAAAAGTCACTTAGTTGATGATTTTATTTTGTTGTTGCTTCCATTCATATGTAGAATCATTTCACTTCGTTTATGAGCTTTATATTTAGCTTTTTTTGGATTCTCCTGTCTCATTGACACTGAGTGATTTTAAGTTGTTGGTTGTTTTTATTGTTATTGTTTTTGGTGGACCCGAGGGAGACTAGCAACCACTTTATGGAGGCTAATGGGGATCACATTTAAGAATAAAGAATATATTAAAAAGTGTAAAAATAATACACATATGAATACACACATACTGCAGATACATCATCAATAAGTATATAAAGAAAGGAAGGTAATGACCAAGAATGAATGACCATTCAGCATCATTCATACATGTTTTTTTAGCAGTTTCTGCCTTTTCAACAAAATAAAACCACTAACAGTAGAATAAATAACAATAAAACTATGAATATTGTTTTCAAGGACGGCTTCTCTTCTGATCCGAGACTGTGGACGGACAACTCACCTGCAGTTCAACGCTTCAGATACACCTCTGCAACACAAAGGTAAACACACAGTGAGCTTTGTCTCATTTCAATAATAATAAAGCACAACAAAGCTCACCTCCCACACAATGCAGTATGTACAGTCCACACACACTTTGCTTTGAAGGGTTATTGAGAGTGACTGGGTTTGATTTTGTGCCCCAGTGATGTCATCGGGGAACAGTGTGTCCTCTTGTTGTGTTAATTGCTGTTCAATGAAATGATGTAGATGAACTGCAGCCTTGCTTAAAGCCTCGGGGAAGAATTAGCTCCCCAGTTAATAAGCTGTCTAGTATACTCCATGCAGCGAAGGGGGGGAATTAAAATTAAAGCAAATAACTTTTGACAATCAAGTTAATCAATTACATTCAAGGTACTTGGTACTGATGTTTAATGGCTGCAATTTCCTGTTTTGTACAGGAGTTATGAGGAAGTTAACTGGGATACAAAGTTACCCCGGCGCTTGAAGGCACCAGAAACGACCCTGGAGACAAAGGCAGACCCAGTGAGCGAGCGTCCCTCATCCAGGCGCTATGCTGGCCGACCTCAGCTGTGGCAGGTGAGCCTTGAGGAACAAACAGCGACTAACACTGCCAAGGCTGGAGCTCAGTTGCTTTCTCTTTCTCCAGCTTCTAAAGGTTTACACTCATTCCCACAACTGATTGAAGGAAATAGAACCGCTGTGCTGAAGTAATTAATCAGGCGTTGTTTTCAAGGGAGTAATTTACTATTAAGAAAAAATCAATCTAATTGGGTTACCTGAGTGTAATTACTATAAAAAATAAAAATGAAAATTGAAAACACTTTCCCTTCCAACCCACGAACAGTGTGTTTGGTTTATATCTGGTTTTAGTGAAAGGGATAAATGTGTCAGAGGTCATTTTTCTGCATTACTTTGTCTCACTCCACCTTGTTCAGAAATGCTGCGAGTTGCAGCGTAGACTTTACTAATTCTGTTGAACAACAATGCCCCATTACATCCCCATTACTTCCCTAATTTGTCATTAGTTTCGACCTGCTGGCACACACAATGAGACTGAAGGAGGCAGATAAAGATATGTCTGGTGATACTCTGTTGTCACTAACAGAGACCACGCCATTGTGGATGTGAAATTAGAATGGTTTACTGCATATAATGGATGAAGGTGAACCAAGATAATGTTAGCGTAGGAGGGGTGAAGGGTTTAAGAGTTTGGAGATGGACTGCGTCAGCTGGTGGCAGGAAGACGGGAGGAAACCGTTCAGACTCAGAAAAAGGGGGTTTCCATTCAGGGATGTGTTAACAGATACGGTTGAGTACTTTTCATGCAGAAATCAGATGAGTTCAACATGTGGTCTTTGTTTTAAAACCTAGTTGTAACACTTAATTTCTTCTTATTGCCATCAAATCCCATGAAAACACCAAATCAACAATTAATTGTATCCAGTATTGTATTGATGATATTCATGTATTGCCAGAGCCTGATATAGTCTTTCATATATTAGATATTAGATATCTTATCAGGGGTGAAGTGGGAATAAAAATGAAGTCATCAGATCTGAAATCTGAGATGTATAACATCATCCTGCTAGACAAACCTTTATTATTTTACCCCTGTTGTCTTCTGCCTGCCACTTCAGCTGCACAACCTCGGCGGGTGCTTTTACTTGTCTCAGTGAGCTGTGGTCCTGAATCTACTCTGATATTCTGGTCCTCTTTCTGCCTGTCATAGGCACTGCTATCTCTGCTGTCCCCAGCAGCACTGAATGCATTAACTTATTATTTTGAAGCATTTGGATGCCTCTATTTTTCAGAATTTCAGCCTTCTTTTCTCATAACTTTATAACTTTTCCTCTGCTGGCTGGGTCAGTGTTCGGTCAGAATTTATCGGAGCACCACGGTGTGAACTGCGGTTGAGTCAGAGGGGGCTTGGCTCCTCTTAATAAGACATGAGGTCCTCTGAAAACATGATTTGTGAAATTTTAGGGGGGGCTCTAAAATACTGATACATCATCATGGATCATGCATAGAATTAAGCTATTATTGATTTATGTGATTAACTGATTACAATATATCAGATGCGCTGACATGTAGGCCGTAATTGCAGCTATAAATGTTTCTTTGCAACTAGATATTAAAAAAATAGCTAATTCTAAAAGTAATAAGTATAAATTATTTTTACATTACTTTGAACTAATATGGGTAAGTTCAGCAAGATTTGGCTCGAAACCAGCGCATTTAGTGCTTGCCTGTTAAAAATAATGAATTTTACCCCCATTGTACCTTGTGCAAGAAAACACTAACTTTTAGGTATAAAGGCATAAGAGTCGGTGGAAAATCATAACAATATATATCTGCCATAAACAGCCACTGTAGCAGCAGAGTTCTGTGTTCACATTGGGATCACTAAAGGGCACCACAGTCAAACTCACATACATCACCCTGCAGCTCACAAAATGCGTATTAATCCGCAACTGAAAACAATCCACAGACAAATGGCCAAATTACCTACGTTTGAGGTAAATTAAAAATCACACAATAGAAGATTTCAATCTTCAGTAGGAACAAAGGGCTTGTGGCTGAGAGCAATGGACTGACGAAGGGTTGAGAGGGTTCAACTCTGCTGCTACAGTGGCTGTTTATGGCAGATATATATTGTTATGATTTTCCACCGACTCTTATGCCTTTATACCTAAAAGTTAGTCTGAGTGTTTTCTTGCACAAGGTACAGTGGGGGTAAAATTCATTATTTTTAACAGGCAAGCACTAAATGCGCTGGTTTCGAGCCAAATCTTGCTGAACTTACCCATATTAGTTCAAAGTAGTTGCAAAGAAACATTTATAGCTGCAATTACGGCCTACATGTCAGCACATCTGATATATTGTAATCAGTTAATCACATAAATCAATAATAGCTTAATTCTATGCATGATCCATGATGATGTATCAGTATTTTAGAGCCCCCCCCTAAAATTTCACAAATCATGTTTTCAAGGGGACCTCATGTCTTATTAAGAGGAGCCAAGCCCCCTCTGACTCAACCGCAGTCAGGTTTGTAGAGAATCTAGAATATATACTGTACATACTATATCCTGTCTTCATATCAATGCAGTAATAATACACTGATCATAAACACTGCATGCAGCTCTGCCTGAAAGGTGATTGAGTTCAATGTTTAAGTTCAGGTCAGACTACAGATTACCAATGTGAATGCTGTCTCATGTCTACCTGTGTGTGTGTTTATGTAGTGAAGTGAGAGGATGTATGGGGGCTTAATAAAGGTACCTGATAAATTCTGCTAAGAATCTGCTGTTACTGTCCTTTCCAAGTCTGTTGGAGCTGAGTGGAACAGACAGCAGCTTCGATCGAGGAATGATGCCAAGAAACCAATTTCATTGTAAGTTTCCAACAACCAGTGGCTTTTGTTTTAAGAGCGTTAATGATCACCAGCTTTACATCGTCTCTCTCCTGTCTCCAGCTGCAGTAGATGTCCAAAGTCAGGTCAGATCCCTCAGTACACGTGAGTACTTCATGTCTGAGAGGTCGCCACAAATGTCTCACATGTATGTTAGCATGTGTTCATGAATCAGGCCTTAGAGCTGACCTTGCTTTTTGTGTGTGATCGTATGTACTTGCAGCGGTACGATCGGCTCTGAGAACATGGATAATATCGACAATATGGAAGAAGACTTTCAGCCTCTGACCCTGAAGAGGAGCATTATTCCCCCGTACACGCCTACAGCACGGTCAGACACACACTCATACATTCGCTGTGGATCTCAGGAGCTCTATTTATTCACCATGAAATTTGCTCTGCATATTTATTTTCTCCCACTCTGGGTTATTAAAGTAGATTCTGACATTGCTGCTACCTTTGAAATTCCTCTCTCATGGTGATATTCAGCCTCCTGCAACAGATTCTAATAAATAATGTTCTGATTCGTCCCAGCCGAACCACCATCCCTGGATATGCAGGCAGGGCTGTGTATGCTAACTCTGCTGCTGATGCTGCAGCCTATGTCCCAGCTGTCTGCAGCCCTGCACACTCCTCCGGGTGAGTCCTCACAATAACTTTTATGAAGCCACTTAGGCAGCAAAATAAACAATTAGCAATTTGTCACTGAGTAGGCCCCTTTTTCAGTCATTTCTGGCAATTATTTAATACATCTGTCATCTTCTTTTTTTATTCTCTTTATGTTTTCACTTGATATTTCTCCCACCACAACTCACATCCTCAATATGCATTATTATTATAAATTATTGCACAAGGATTATCATGACTGCCCACTGGAGGGCGTTCTAACTCACTCCACTGACATCCTGCCTCAGGTTATGATCTGACTTCACCATACAGATGTGCTCATATTTTACTGCCATCCCTTTGGAAATTAAATACAACTGGGGTTTTACCTAGTAAATTAATAATTTAAAATGTTTTTAAGCCAGAATTTAATTTAACAGGCACATTAAGTGCTTTTATTAAAGTGAAAAGAAGCCAGATAGTTATTTTTATCAATCACTGTAAGAGGCAGATGTCTGATATCAGACCAGCAGGCTTTGAATACTGACTGAACAACGCGCTGCTGGCAGATATTTAGCACAAGATCATTCATTCACGATTTATCCTCGCGGAGAAAAAACATCTTTAAGCCTAAATCGTTGTGCTGCAAGTCATGAGAAGAAGGATGAGGGTGCACAGTGGCTTTATTCAGCTCTTACCAAAGGCACAAATAACAAAACCAATTCCATCATATAGAGAAAAAATACATGGAATCTTTTTTATATTTGTTTCTTTAAAGATAAATAAAAGAGCATAATATGAGAAAGTTTAGTAATACATACAATGAATACAGTGTCAAAAGAACAAGGATAATTTATATAAAATAATATATTATGATGTTCTTTCCTTTGCATTTTACTTGGAATTTTTATCTTTCCGTTCTTTGCGGTGCTTGTATGTGTTTGAGTGGCATCTCTTTAAGCATCAGCTAAATGTGCATCTTATTTTTTTTGGATGAGTGGGCGGGTGACATACAAGTTAATGGTCAGCTGGTAAAGACTACAGTAATTGGAAATGTTAAGAGAGAGATTAAAAAAAAACAGTGGATGTCATTCCCGAAGACAGACAGGAAGGAAATTGGAAGTCTTGGAAAACTGGGGAGAAAATGACAAGAAGGTTAATTTGAGGGCAAAAGAACATTCTTACATAGAGGAAATTTCACAGCAGATTTCAGGTTTTTCTTACGGTGCGCATTAAGTAAATATTTCAGTAAATGTCTTTTAAAAAAAAGAATTTACCATGTGAACAATGTCAGTTTACACGAATGAGTAGAGCGAGTGCAAACATCCCTCCTCTCTGGGAGTGTTGGCTGTCTGTTAAGGAGGTGCAAACCTGTTTCCTAGTTGGGCCCCAGTTGAGCGAACTTTACCGGCTTTTGGAGCAGGCATCTCCAGATGGCTGAATCCAGAGCAGCTCGTGGTAATCGTGGTTTTTCACAACCTAGATCCATTTTCCTGGTGCCTGACACCCCCCATGAGATCTGTTTCCTCTGCTGATTAGGCTGGCCTCCCATATTTTTTCCCCAAAACAGAAAAAAGACGAAGCACTTGGATTGATTAACTGTCTGCTGCAACGGTCAGACATCCTCGGGATTTTTTCTTGCCAAAGCTCACTCGTTACACAAGTGCCTGTGGGTATCTTTTAAGCAGCAGTCTTATTTATTTCACTATGATTACTGTTGGGTTCTTAGATTTTTACTTGATCCAAAATGACTGATAATTTACCGACTTTAAATCCTGATATTTTCACAGGACAATCAAACAATCCGGGGGACCTACTTTTGGCCATGCAGCCCCCCTGTCCCGAACGGTGACCACCATAACACCCTGCAACCCCTTCCTGAGACCTGCGCTTCCTGCCTCACACACAAACACGCGGAGGAGACATTAGACAAAGCAGATGAGAAAGTTTTGAGGGTGTCAGCCTTCTTTTTATGCCATCCAATCTGTTTATATGAATACGTCTATAATGATGTGATGTCAGTGACTGATTCGGAGTGAGCTGGAGAATAATGAGATGCCCCATTATCATAATTTCCCTGATTTAGATGAGTGGTTTTCTAACTCTGGGTAGTGAGCTCTTGCATTGTCCTTTTAAACATTCGCTCACTCGCTCACTGTGTTTGTATTTCAGCCCACACACTCTGTGTTTCTATCACGAAGGGCAAAGAAGAAAATATTTAGGGAAGTAAGGATTTTCTGCACTAATGTTGGATGTTTAACGGTATAAAAACTACCAAAGGTAAAATAGGTCCCTTATGAGTGACATTTTAGTAGGAACAGAGATCATTTGCTCAGGAAGTACATGTTAAAGACAGTCTGCAGTCTATGCACAGATCATTTAGAGGTGTTAGTGTGACTGTAATGCAAATCGACATTATTAAGTGTCTGCCAGCTATAGCTTTATGATTGTGGTTTGTGCAGCTTCACGCTTAGACAGGAAATAGGGATGAGCTGGTTTTCCTGTTTCTCTTCATCTATATTTTGTTTAGATTTACATTTCGCAAGGATTTTTACTTGAACACTCTGCTGATTTTGTGAAGGGTTGAGGTTAGTGTAATGATTCTAATCCACATCTCAGTCACATTATGTCGCATTTACTCTCATTAAAGGGGCACTTCAATGGTTAAGTGTTGCACTTCCATACATTTGGGGGGCTCACAAGAGACAGATTTAAAAAACAACGGTCAAGAATGAAGCAGCAGAAGCCCAGACATCCTGACTTTTAGTCTCCAGTAACTCAAAAAGTATTCCTTCATTTCTCACAATGCAGCTCAAAAGCATTTCATCAGACTTTATCAGGGTTATCTTTTCTTTGGAAAGCTGCCTACATAGCTACAGATGACAGTGTACACTTATTTACACAGGCTGTTTAGTACTCCTCCTGAAGAGCAGTGTTGGGCAAGCTACAGAGAAAACTGTAATCAATTACTAATTACATATTACACATTGAAAACATTACGTTGGTAGTTACTATGGTAGGTAGAAGAATTAACTCAAAATCCTCTCCACCTTCACTTCACATATTCTGTAGTGTAGAAATAGAAAACAAAACATGATTTTAAAGGACCAGTGTGTAGGATTTAGTGAAATCTAGGGATGAAGTTGTAGATTGCAGCTAACTGAACACCGCTCGCGTCTGTATTTGATGACCTTGAGATTGAGAACGGGCTGTGATGTGTGTAGGAGAAACTAAAGTCGTCACAAAACTCACAAAAAACAAAATACAGTAGAAACATGGTGGACCTGCAGCGTCTGTAGATAAAAACATCTCATTCTAAGGTAACAAAAACACAACCATTTCCTATATTCAGGTGATTATACACTAATGAAAACATACCTATGGATATTATATTCCATTTCTGCCAATTGATCCACCGAAATGTTCCTCACTGGACCTTTAACAAGCAGCCTGTCTACGTTTTAGAGGTATTAACTGACCAACAGCTTGATTAGCCCCAGTGACTGCACAAGGGTTCACACATCCTCCTATGAGCAAACACAGGTGACTCTGAAATGTAGGCCCACACATTTAAATACTTTGGGATAACCGGGAGTCCTGCCTCCCTACACCTCCAACTCCAGCGCCAAGCTAACATGTCTCAGACCAGGAAAGTCCGTCTGAATTCAGAGAGAAAACTGATATAAATCCCTCATCAAAATCTTTACTGGATTTATTGAAATAACTGAATTTCAACTTGCAAACCCTTTTACTAAACTGTACTGCCACATTAATGTAACATGTAACTAAGTAATGCATTACTGTTAAACACTGGTGACAATTCAATTTAAGTTAAATTTAAAGCTATTAAACATACCAACATACACTGTCCTATTGTTAAGATTTAGCCTTTCCTCTGCATTGTAGTGAATCTACAGCGTGCACTCTTCCTTCTGGCTTGATATCAGCTAACAGCTCTGTTGGTGATTGACGTCTAGAAACCACCAATTAATGCACTGGACAGTCTTGACTTTAAGTTTAAGATTAAGAGAGCCAGCATCTCGTTTTAACCACATTAATAAATGATGGAGGGCTCGGGCGATTTAGTGATCATTATTTCACCTATTTAGGATGTTTAGAGGCCCTTAAATATACACTTAAAGGTGTAGTTTGACATTTGCTTTGTTGCTGAGAGTTGCATGAGAAGATTGATATCACTAAATATAAAGCTACAGCCAGAAAATGGTTAGTAAAATCTATCCTAGCAGCTCCTCTTAAGCTAAAATATTAGCTTTTTTTAACTTCCTGTGCTAGCTGTTTCCACATATACTGTATGGAACAACAAAACAATTAATTGGAAATGTACCAAATTTTGCATTAGGGCTGTACAGTTAATCAAAATATTATTGAACTTGCGAGAAGACCAATATCCAAATCGTTGAAGCTGCAGTTTTTAAATGAAGGTAAAATGTGTGACATTACAGCATTATAATGAAGTACTGTAGAGTTCTCCACATGTAAGAAAACATGTTTGTCTGGCAGAGATCATCACAAATGTCACGTTCTCGTTTCTTGTTTTTCTGTGAAATTGTGATGCAAAAATTTCCACTAATCGTGAATCATATCAGTCAAAATTATCACAATGTGATTCTTTTTTCTTTTTTACCGTATCACGCAGCCCCAGTTTGTATGTTTGCTGTTGTGTTTAAAACCAATAAAACTGCGTGAAAACCTTCTCAAAGCAATCATAACTCTATTTTCAAAAAAAAAAAAACCTCCCTCCCTCCCTTCTCAGATTTTCCAGCCTGTGGTCTGAATCTCATCACTAGCTCCTTTTCAAAACAGGCTCACAAACATCGTGATTGATTCAGCCACTATCCTCCAGGATCTCTCAATGCCTGCCTGGGCTGGAGATTAATTTCCTTTTCCTCATCTTAATTTTTACTCATCGCCTCTCCATAAAAAGGCTAAATGTCAAGCATGCCTGACTCCTTCTAGTGACACGTCTATTCCAGCAGATAATTACCATAAGGAAATAGATGCTTTAGTGTGCAGAGGGGAATTTAATTTACTCTGACATCCTCACAGCATAATGCATTCCTAAAGAAAGAGAGTTTTTCAGTTTGCAATTGACTTTTTAGATAAATTGGACTATTTAATGTGATTATCAGCCTTGAACGTCTTTGACTTATTAAGGTGTTGAAACCAATTAAGGGTTACATGCTGCTCATGCTTCCAAATGTGAAACAGTGAATACTGCTTAAAGATCCATGAAATAAGAACCAGCCGGAGCCTTTTGTTCGGTAGTCGACCGGCTACATTGCCTGATGATGTTTTGAGACTTGCCAGGTAATGATATTAATTACAGCAACATGGCTTGCTTCAGGTTGTGGATTAACCCGAAGGAGCAGAGGGTTATGTTTAGATTGATTTGCAGCCGTGGATTACAGCCCCGTACGTGTAGTATAATCTCAAAATGCTGCAAAATTAAATAATCTTATAAAACCTTGAAGCCCTCTGCCGAAACATGCTTCAGTTTGTAGGTTTTTTGTATAAGTCAAACGTCAGGATGATGATCAGCAACTCAGCCAGCGGTGAGTATTGATCCCACCTCTGCAGTAACTTCTCTAAAACCTTGGCTGAATCATTGTCCTAACAGTATTTTGCCTTTCAGCCACAGCCACACAGAGCAAAGCTGCTGTGTCACTGGGACGGGACAGTATCTGTCGTTCATGGAAGGCCACAGTCACGTTCTGACCCCTCTGCGCTCGCTGATAGCACTGAGTCACATTTCAGTCCCAGCATTCCCTCTGCGTGGCCTCTGGAGTTGGTCATCCTGCAGCCTTCTCATACCTTGATGCGTCCAAAAGCTGCAGCCTCTTCTTACCTCGCAGACAAAGCAGAGCTGGCCCTTGTGGCTTTGAGGAAGTCGCAAAGCGTTGCTGCAATCCGTAGTATGGCCGTGAAGACACAGCAGGCCACAGTGCTCCTGCTCAAAGTTCCTCCTTTTGCAACCAACTGCCTGAATGTTGTGCTTCTTAGGAGATAAGGGCAGCCTCCCACGAAAGGTGACTCAGCAATCCAGCACCCACAGCCTCTCCTGAGATAAGAGTGCTCTGTGGGGCCTGAGGACAGCGGGATACTGGGAAGAAAAGTCACAAGTAGAGAAAAACAGTGGAAGTTAAATTCACCATAACCACCACTTATTCAAGTATTAACTCTTGTAACTTAATCAGCTGTGAATATACAGCTCTGGAAGGGGGGGAAAGAAGCTCTTTTAATAGTATAAGCTTTGAGTAGATCAGTAATTTTAAACACAGTAATTACAGGAAAGATCCACTCCACCAGTTATTCATATTAGATAATACTGAAAGCACATATCTGGAAATGAGAGGTGAGTTATTTTAGCCCAACCAGAAGTGTAACTCATCATTTATTTAGAATTTCCATCAATATTAATCCTCAATACATAGGCACCCATCACTCTGTGGCTTTACACGAATGACACTTATAATTGGCATTAGGAGAAAATTGGAAAGTAGTTATTAACCATCTGAAAAGGGGGTCTGTATAGTGAGACGTGGCTGCTGCTGTGCTGTAGTTGAGTGCACAGTCCTTATATGTTATGTTCATACTATCAGCATGAATGATAACAGAAGGGAGGGAGATGAAGTAGTGCAGTCCATACTGTTGACAGCAGGCGTAGAGTGTGGTGACGGTTTACTAATTTACATTTGATGTTGTGTATCTCAGTTTCAAGTCACTTCCAAGCAGTCCTGGATTTGGATGATTGACTTTACAGCAACATTTCAAATGTTAAGAGTTAAAAAAAAGAGTCTCATACTGGAAGCGTGAAGCTAAAATATCTCTGATGGGTTGGAACTAACAGGGCCAGTTGCATAGCGTTAGGGAAAACCACATTTCAGTGAATGTAATGCATATCTGCATGATGATCTTCTGCAGGACTGAGCCAGTAACGGGAAGAAGCACTCTGTACATGCATCTTAAAACAGGAAGTAACAAAGGCTTAAAATTGTGAAAAAAAAAGAAAACAATTTGCTCAGGGTTCAGACATAATCTGGATTCTGGACACTTTGCTGATGTGATGAGGTGGGACAGGAGGCTTCGACACTAAGGGGACAATCACTGGAGAGAAAGAGCAAAGTCAAATGGATGAAACATTAAAGAGAGAGAAAGAAAAACCTCATTATATGGGAAAGAAAACAGTTGTGTTAATTTCATGGACTGCTTCAGCAGTGCCAGAACAGGTGACAGAAGGTGTCCAATATGCAAGTGAGGACCCCCCCCATCCACACACACACATACACCCCCCCACCCCAGCTTCCTCGGTGAGAATGAAATAAATAAACAATGAATGGTCCACTCTCCTCGCGCGCCTCATCCCATCTCATGCATGGCTGCCAGTAATGGTCTACTGGGTGTCAGCTTTTATTGGCACGGCACAAAGCAAGTGCCAAGGGCTCGGTGGCTCGACTCCCCGCCGCAGACTCGGCCTGTGGATAAAAGCAAGCAAAATGCCCCAGTCGAGCTCAGAGACATAGTCATGTTGGGCTGGAACGAGGAAGTGCAGTGGAGAGGGGAGGGACTCAGGGCGCAGCTCCATGGGGCCGCCGCGGCGCTGCGACCTTCTGCACATGGAGCCGGGGAGAGTTGGAAGAACTTCATACTGCAAACTCAAGGAATAGCAGGTAAAGTGACTTCCACTGCGCTTTTCAGCTCGACACTAATCTCAAAGGCTAATTCAAGACCTCTAAAATTGAGCTCGTTTTCTTCTCAAGGGTTTTTAGGAAGCATTTGCACCTGACTGGAAAAAAGACTCTCCTTATAGTTTCGGTGCAGGTGCGCCGCAGCATCAGATCCCGTTTAGTGCGCGTTATTCTCTGCTGAGTACAGGACATGTAGCGGATTGACAAACCAGAGTGCCTTTTAAAATTAAATACAGAAAAATATATGTATTTATACGCTTCATTTGTGAATAAATTGCCAGAAGTTTAACGGAAATAGAGGAATGTTCCCCGTTTTCCAAGTCTCTTTTTCTGTTGGGAACACATGGATAAATAATTTCACAATCACTTATATTTATATAAAAATACTAGGCTGATTTTTAAGATTTTCATTCTATTTATCTACGCATTTCCTTATAATTTGAGTCTGTTTAAGACGTTTTCACACTCATGTTGTAGCACCTGTTGCAACAGATGTGCGCACTCAATAAACATATAGTCCCTCTGTAGCTGAACTTTAATAAAATATTAAAAGTCACATTTTAATGTGATAATATATATTTTTTAAATAGTAACTTTTAATGAAGACGTAAAGTTTTCTGGGGCCAAACACCAAACCGTAAGTGAAAATACTTTAGCGCTGCTTAAACAGGAAATCAGCACGCAGAGACTAACCCCTGTATCTTTCATACAGTATAAATCAATAATCGATAAATCTGATAATTTCTCATACCGTTAAGCTTTGTGTTCACCTGTTCGAACCACAGTCTCAGTTGTTAAACGTCTGTGTGAAGGGAAGAGGAAAGAAAAAAAAAACATATGTAGGCAGGACTGATGAAACTTTTTACACTGCTGACAAGTTGTTCATCAACGCCCAGACGAAAAAACAAGATTCACTGTTGAGGAAATAAAAGTGTTTTCATCTTTTCAACACGTTTCAAAAAGTTCCTGTAGAAAATTGAGGCTCTGTAATATATATATATATATATATATATATATATATATATATATATATATATATATATATTTGACCACAGGCTTTTTGGATCAAAGTAAGAATGAATCCATAATTGTTACTTTAATGTGGCGTTTAATGTGTGATGTACAGCAGTGAGTCAGTGAGTGGCCATGAGTTGTTAGTTCCTATGAGCGACAGCATATTCATCTTATGTTATCTGTATTTTCTTTTTTTTTTTTCTTTTTTTAGCAAGTATAAATGTATTTAAAGTTTACTTTCAGGTAAAAATGTTATTTTTTAAAACATTTTCAGGGAAGTTAATAATTCTGTAAATTCACTCAAATCAGGCTTAAATGCAAATATTCAACAACAAAAACACTTGACAGAAGTAGAAGAAAAGATACGTTAGATTTTTAAATGTAAGATCTATACTGCATTTTAAAACTTGGAAAGGAACCCCAATACCTGCACAAATTGGACTTTGTCATTGCTCGGTTGGAACGAGAAGTGCTGAAAGTGTGCTGCAAATCTGTCTGCAGATACATCATCTTTTCTTGTCAGTAGAAACAGAAGTAGGAGGTAGGTTGGGGGGGCAGAGGAAGGCAGACAGTTATTAAAATGATTGTACTGTCTGAATAGCAGAGTAGTGAAGTGTGTCAGATGCAAATGAAGGAAAGTTCTCTGCAGTGCACCTTTACTCTCCCCTCACCCCCTCGATAGGCTCCCAGAACACATCCGCTAACACTATCTACCCACTTACACCCATACATTTCATGAATTACTGATGAGAATCTCCATGTGCATATGAACAAAGGTGACCATGCACCACATTGCTTGGCAGTGTAAGATAATCTCTTCTCCTAATGGCTGATAAGAAAGCGCCCACTGCTTCATTACTTCTCATAAAACCCACAAGAGTGAAAATTATTAATTCAGATATTTTCATTAATCGTCAGAAAGTCTGCTTAGTAACTGTAAAAGTGGAAACTTTGAGTGCCAGTGTGGATTATTTGAGTTATGATTCATGTTGTTTTGCGCATGAAATAAGAGTGAGGTCAGCATTAATGTGTGATGAAACATGTACATGAACATGTTTTATTGCAGCCAAAAGTCTTATTGTCATAAGCAGAAACATAAAAAATATTTTACATGAGCTTCCTTGGCCCTAAATCACACTTTTATTTTGTTTTTAGTGTTTAATCGTTCTATTAAAAGTAACAGATTTTTATCAAATGACAACATAAGGGTGGATTATTATTTAAAAAATTAAAAATTTGATGACATGAAACTTAAATTAATCCTAACTAAAACCCTCAAGAGGTGTCTTTTTGTGACATTTCTATACTTGAGTGTTGGTTAATGTATTCCACTGTTTGCTGTTCATTTTAAATGTACATTATATGTGTATGTTTATACATACACACCAAGCTTCCTGCTGGGTATCCAGACTTGGTGTGGTCCTCAGTATCTGTTAACGGTTTCGTTGTTTCTCATCTCCACCCAGTTCCCTGGTGTAGCTTTTGCACCTCACTATAAGCAGACGCCTCTAACCTCCCCCCACCCCCCAACAACCCACCACCACGATCCACCAAACACACACACACACACACACTCACACACACACACACACACACACACACGCAAGAGGACGACCGAGAATTCTGTCAACCCACAAGCCTCTTCCTGCCTCTCCTCACTTGACGTACGTAAAACTTTTCCAGTCCCCCTGCGCTATATGTCAGAAGTCTTTCTGTGACTTCCATTTCACTGGCTGAAAGATTCCACCTGCCCCCAGTTCACACACACACACACACACACACACACACACACACACACACACACACACTCACACATCCAGCTACAACCAGGACATGAGCAATAATGGTTAAAAAAAAAAAAAAAGTTTGATTTGATTGAATAAATGAGAAAAACGTTATGACTGGTCATTTTTTAATTGCACCTGCTCTTATAGTACAGACACAGCGTCTAAAGATTGAGCTTCAACTACACAACAATGCGGGGAAAGTTTTATAAATAGCAACAAAACTGTCTGTAACATTAGAAAATAAAAAACAGCATAAAAATAGTATCACTTATAGCTACTTCCTGACTATTCTGTGTGCACCTTACTTTCCACATGCCTACGCAAGTGGGTTGTGGCTGAATGTAGGAACTCTCTTTTTTATTCCTGTCGAAGCCCCCCCGCCAACACATCCGTGTTTCCCCTCGCACCATCTGCCCAGAAAAAAAGGGCACATGAGAATATCCCCTCCCCCCGCCTCCCCTCTGCCCCCGACCTCCAAACTCCAGATGCTGAAGAACGCCGCTGCAGAGTCATAGCTCAGCAGAGTAACACCCAACACCCCTGTGTTGTGCCCGAACAAATCATCTGCACCAGTGACCTTTGCCCCATCTTCTCTTCCGCTCACACTTGCATCCTGGGCGTCTTTAGGCCACCGAGCTCCTGACTTGACTCCGCAGAATACTGTGCGTTGCGACAGAGCGGCCCGGTCGCTTCCCACTATTTGTTCCAAATGTGTGGAGCCATCTGTCAGTAAAACAGGAAGGCCTAGGTTCCCCTTCTCCCTTGGGCTCGTTTCGCTATTTTCGGGAGCTTCACTTCTCCCTGAGTGGCTGCTTGGACTGGGCAGCGGCCCCACCAAGGGCTTCTTGAAGTGGCGGAGCTGGGGCTGAGGCTGTCGGGCCCATCTGCTGCAGGCTTGAGGGCCATCCATTATTAATGGGGCCACGAGCACTGGTGACTCCTCAGATATTCAGCCCTGGCCAAAAGATCGCTTCTAAAAAATAAATAAAGAGAACTTCTCTGTCCTCCGGCCTGCTTTTCTCTCTTTCTTCTTTTCTCTCTGCACCTTCCTGTTGCGCTTGCTCTTCTGACTTCTTGCCCTTGCGTTGCTATCTCTGCTTCTATACCTATCTCGCCGCTTTTTCTGTCTCCTCTCTCTTGCTCTCCCTCTCTTTGTTTCTCATCGTGGCTCGCATGCGTCTGTGCTCAGGCCGCGGGCTCAGCGATGCATGCTCAGTAAATTAGAGAGAACATGAGCGCAGATCAGCTGGGCACGGCAAACACCCGCATCCTCGTGACCTGGGGGCCAGTTAATTTTCTGCTTAATTTTGCGGCAGTCAGTTTGCATTTTTGGATGATTACGTGGCAGGAAATTAACAATAAATAACAAATGTGGTCTGAAAGCCCATTCCCGGCAACCCCACGCTACCAGCGGGCCCCATCAGCCGGAGCCAAGCCGCTCTTCAAGCTCAGTCTCTCTGTCAGACTTGTAATGAAAATGTCTGTAATTCTTTGTAATGTAATGTGGGGGACAGCGGTGTGTCTGCAGCTGTGACAAGAGTGATCTCACTGAGGTGGCGAAGTCACACCGAGAAGTACACCCTTTACTCCACTCTAGCTTTTTATAATGTTGTTTCTTCAGCTTGCACTTGATTAAACTTACACACATCTACATCTCCATCTCTCTCCCATTAGAGTACCTGCACCGCATGGAGACAGAGGAGGCCCAGGAAATGGCCCAGATGCCAGGTAAAAGACTGCCTACTGCATGATTGAGCTGTAGAGTGCAAAAGGTAGATACAATAGGCCCACACACAGGCTCTTACACCACCCTGGAGGTAATTTTGCTTCCCCTGAATGAGACACGTAGAGGGGTTGCATGGTGAGTGATGGGTGTTCGATGGTGTGTGTCTCCCCAGGCAGGGACAGCCCCCCTGCCAATGAAGCATCCGAGGAGGCAGAGGAGCCCATGGCCGTCCCTGAGGACCTGTCAGCCAGCTCCACCCACCAGCAGAACAACAGAGGGGACAAAGGTACGAGGCAACATCTCACCAAACGCACCCACAGCCAGTCAGAACATCACTGATGCTTGTGTAAATTAAGAATAAGCAGCGTTGATGTGAGTGTATCCCATGAAGCAGCAATCAAAAAGAGTCAAAACCACTGCAGTGCCTTTCCCAATAGTAATTTATTTATTCCCAAAGCATCCAAATCAGAGTAAAACGCTTAAATGAAAGTAATGTCAGTATCAAAAGCCTAACATATATATATAAAAAGCATAAAAATGTTTTTATAACTTAATCCCATGCATATCCAGTGGGAGATATTTGCCGTTCCAAATCCCTTGGAAAAATTAATTTAAAGCTGCAAAGAGACACATTTAGGTCATTGGCAGAAAAAGGTAAAAAATAAATAAATAAATAAATCCCTTTGATCCATGGCATGTCATTAATAAGCCGAATCTTAAGGAATAGCTAATGTGGCCTTGATTTGAGTTTGTGAACACCCAGCCAGGGAATATCATGGTGAAAATAAGGATGAAGCGTGCTAGGGGGATTCACATCGGCGGCGTATATTTATCTCAAGTCTCCTAACGTGGGTGGCTTGTGAAAAAACAGGAAATGTTCAAGGTGGGATCATTATTGGTCATTAATAGCTAATCGGTTTGACATGACAGCAAGATGAATCAGACATAACATGCAGTTTTAATAGGATAAATAGTGTAGGTATTATGTTTGCTTATTATTATGGTTTATTCATGAGATTCGTAGCACGTCCAAGCACGTTAATATGTCCACTGAAATGTTAGGGGCCGTCACAGCGTTCAAGATCCACATTGTCATTTATTGAATTAATTTATTAAATCTTAACCAATTACAAAGATATAGGAGAGAGATTTAAAGAATCAGACACATTTTAGGGACAGTTTTCAGACAGTTAAAGATGTGAGATGTGTAAAAAAAAAAGAAAGAAAAAGAGGTGCATTTCGTTTTCATCGTGAAAAATAATTCTACTTAAAGTCAAACATGAAGGAAAAAAAAGCCTGACAGCTGACCATCCTATCGGTGTTTTTCCGCTTATCCAGATAACGGCAAAGATTAGCAACACACAGTCAAAAATAAAATGTGAGAGGAAACTGAAATAGGATGTGTAAGAGTTTCCTAAGAAGAACTTGCCATCAGACAGTTTCAACACTCCTGGAGATAAAGAGTTCAGGAACAGGGCCAAGCTCTCAGAGATCAGCGCATCACTACACCACATAGGTCACACACCTGCACTAACACTTACTCACAAAGGCTCGCTGTCTGACTTTACAACTGCTGAGATGTCGGGCAGGAATCTCTGAACAAGTCCTGAGACGGCGTCTAAACAATTAAAACACGTTAAGTGTAGTTTGTAGAGCCACGTTTTGTACGACTGTGTAATGGGTGTTTGGTGCAATACAGGAAAAAAATGGGCAGATGCTTTAAATGTGCGACCTTTATCGGCGGCATGTAAAGACGGTAAAGAAGGCACAGCTGGATGTATGACTTAATATGTAAGTTTCTGTTCATTCCCTACACAGTGTGATCACTTCGCATGTGTCTATATAGGGACAGAGAGAAAGAGCCCAAAGAAGGGAAGTGCAAGTATCTGGTACATCTATGCATCGCTGCCTTTGTGATAAAAGCCAGAATGAGTTATAATTATCACCCAGGATCATGTGCTGCTCAGTTCTCTGTTGTGAAAAAAGGCAAAAAGCAGGGGGACTATATGTGGGACACGGGACCTCAAAGTATCGAAAGCTCAAAACCTCAAAACCCAGGTTGTTTCCTGTTGCAAATAAGTCTTCACAGCCTGGGATCATCATTGTTGCTGCACTTTAACACATATACGACTGAGGTTCAAAGTCAGCTTTATTTTGTCGTTGACAGTAATTGTCACAAAAAAATGCAAGCTAGATAAATTGTATTGTCTTGTGTGGCTTTAACTGAAAATGAGCATGGAGACGTATTGTTACAGTACATTTGGTAAAAAGTCACAAGATGACTCTCAACATCCCGGTGAAATGATTTCTCTTTCACTTTCAGTGATTCAAATGGAGCCTTTGCTATTTCAGAGACCTGAGACTAAGAGGGAGACTGAGCTGAGTCTAGTTCCCGAAAACATGGAGGCGAATTTCTTTTTTTTCTTTTTTTTCTTTTTACAGTGTGAGGGGAAAAGCAGGCTGTTTTTGGTGTTCCTGCAAGTCGTGTCGAATGTGTTGCTGGCGTGGTTTAACACATGTGGTTCCACTATCTTGCACACAAGGTTATTTTCAGGCAGTGAGAGCAGCAGTAGTCAGTAACAGGAACCTCCAGCAGGCTCCCTGTGTTTCTACACTGCAACTAACACACTTGCTTTCTATCAACCATCGACCTCTTTCAGTACAGCTTGATTATTTCTTCTTTTTAATGCCCGAAAATGCTTCTTTTACACTAATGCTTTTTAAAAAAAAAAAATCTGTTTGTCACTTCTCTCAGTATTTGTCATCGTTTCGTTCTCCACAACGTGTTACCCCTAACACATTCAATATAAACTTTTTATTGCGACCTGTTTTGTTTGTCTACGATGTGATCTGACACTTGCTTCCCAAAATGAGCAAATCAGGATGTGTCACCGTGACAAACATGACATAAAGTAAAAAGCCTTCTTCCTATTCCCAATTCAGTCACAACTTCCCCATATCCATGAGAAGTGGGTGGCAGCCCAATGTTCATGGTTCCCTTCTGTCTGCTTTAGCCGGCTGATAACCTGAGAGCCTTGCTGGTGTATTAAATGTCTCAGGAACTGACGACTAAACATAAAGGTGTTTTAACAATTCTGAAATAATATGGCTTATGTACAATATAAACTTGCTTTAGGGTTATTCCTGGATCAGTGGCTACATTCCCATGTACAGATAAATGCCTCTTTTTCCAATTCTGAGCAAGGCACAAGTCTGTGTATGTCTTTATGTTGGTACATCATTTCACAACTCCCTGCTGGCTTTAGAAAAGTACTTTAGTTACTCAGAAAATTGTGGCAATCAGAGGTTTTGTGGCTAAAACCATAAATTGAATTAGAAGGGTTGAAGTGGTGTAGCCACTTATCGAGTTTTGCTTTCGAACCCTGTGATATGCAAATGGGACAAACTCGATCACTTGCACTAAAAAAAAATCCCTTTTACCTTACTTTTTTCTGACACTTACGTCATCATTAAACTGCTTATGCCTGACTGAAACACCTTGGTGGTTCAAGTGAGAAATTCACACGTAACCTTTTGCAACATGTGCAGCGTAGTCCTAGTCTCCAAAAAGATGACTCTGACTCTGTTCAGTGCAGGTTGTAGCACGTGTTCATCTCCACTGCTCTTCACAAACCGCCACAGAAGGTGTGAACATGTCGTACGTTGATGATTCCCGACCAGGCGAGCCGTGGAGGAATGTGGAGTAGCTAAAGTAATTTGAAAAAAAAAACATTCTCATATTGAGTCACCTGAACACAACTTATTGAGAGTGTGTGTGAGCTGGCGAGCGAAGAGAAGTTGTAACTGTAATGGTTAAAAGTAAGAATAAATGGTAATAGATAATGTTATGCTAAAAGAATGGATAAACAGTTGAAATAGCTCATCTCAGCTCAAATGAACACATGCATGGTTAGAATTGATAGCGTTAACGTTTAAATAGTAAGCTGAAAGTATTGGATAAATAGTTGAAATAGCTAAATAGTTAAGCCCAAATTAAGGGAGTTTGATAAAAGTAAAAGAAAATGGTTAAAATAAATGGTGGTGTGGATGAAGAGTTCCTATTACAGGTTATCTGTTAACCTGTGTAACACCAGTTAACTCCTAAATGAAAGTAAAAGCACAATAATAGTTTTGTGAATTTTGTGTTGAAATACAGTAGATCCCCACTGACATGCATAATTAGCTTTGTTGCATTGTAATTGTATTTTTAATGCACACGTTTTATATATAATGTGTAATATGTAATTTTAGCACCATTTCTTTTTCCTTTTTTTATTAACAGCGAAGCCTTTCCTTCCCTTTGCGTGTTCGGGTGGTGTCTCAGATGAGAAGATTGTCACGCAACAGCAAATTAAAAAAAAAAAATGTTGTGTGGAGATCGGACAATCGGATTATGTGACTTTGATCATAAACATTTCATGATCCTGTGCTGTTTGTTCTGTAAATTTCACTCCACCTCTTGCTCTCGATGGGAAACATTATGTACATTTGGGGATTTATTGTTCCCTTGGTTGCTCTCGGTGAAAACAAGACTCCTGCAGAAAAAAAACAAAAAACGTTTCAGTTACAGGCTGTTTTACAATTCCTTTCCCGTGCTTCCCTTTCTGTCACTTCTCCATAATTCTTGGTATTTCAGTTAGACAGGCCCTCTTTCTGAAGCTTCCCCTTTTCCATAGATTCCTATATTTCATGATTTCCACTTCTTCCTCTTCAGTTGTACAAACAGAGGTAGAGGCATGGGGAAATCAGGCTGCCACCATGACATGCAAACCACAGGTCTGTAGCCGTGGGACTTGCATGATCTGTCAGTTCTCTTAAATGCTTCAAAATGTCTCTGGTGGGAAAAAGAAGGAGCTGGTAGTTCAACACACAGGACATTTCTCTTTTCTGATTTATTTTGGGAACATCAGTCATCAAACAGTGTGTAATTGTTGCATGAATAACAGTCTGCATTTAATTTCTGTACCCTTGTAATCACAGGAATTCGACAGACTAAAAAGGCCAAATGTGAGTGTGTCTTGTGTGTGTTCATTGTGCTCTGTTGCTCTGATAGACACCGCTGTCGTCCCTAGTTTCACACTGCTTCCTGTGTCTCTGTTTCCTGTTTATCTTGCTGTCATTTGTTTCACCAAAGTGTGATGGTGTGAGATGATCTATGTTTCTTCATCACTGACATCCTCAAACAGCAGACATGCGATTCCACCTGTGAATCCTTATGAAATATACTATGCTGCTTTGAAAAGATGAGCAGTGGAGTCTACAGTTTAAACGAGTGGGCTGTGGGTTGATCTTATCTGCTGTTTGTTGATGTTGTTTCTCAGGCTGAATTCAGAAAAACGCCTGAAATGAGGGGAAGTTTTTGAAGTTTTGATGCAGCATCCCGGTAAACATGAAAATGTTGCGCACTAAAGGAGGTTTGTCGTTACGTTATTGCCGTTGTTGCTCTAGTTGTGTTACACTGCAGTTGTTACATACAGTGTCTATCCCAACATACAGAGGGAATGAACAGAACCATACTGACCACAGCACTGTATTAAAGTTCAGTTTCATGGCTGCGAGAGTTCATCAACATAGTCTCTATTGAGTGAGTGAGTCATTTATCTGAGTACGAAACAAAAACGTCTGAAATTCAAAGGTTTCTGAAACCATCTTACCAAAATAAAAGGTCAAACAATAAGGCAAAGGTGAATTTAACAATAACAACTGGTCAGGTAAATTATGAAATAAGTATAATGTTTAAACAACTAAAATAGAGGGATCAGGGTCGGGAGGGTTACCTTAAAAATGAAATCCATTACATTCACTAATTACCTTTAAAAAATGTAGTCAATAATCCAAACATCACAATATTAAAGTAAGCAACCTTTGAAAAGAAGATGGAAAGATTTTAAGCATGAAAAATGTGTCCTCTGCTTTATTTTTAAAGAAAAACGGATTTATTTTAAAATTGCAATCCGATTAAGTTATTTACCTTGTTTTGTATCCTGTGCTTAGTGACATGTAATCTATTACTCCCCAAGCCTGTTAGTACTACTTAAAAAACAAAAATAATGACAGAATAAAACTATAGTTTTACTTAAAATGAAGAAACAAAATTAAAAAGAGGCTAATTTGTAAGACAAAATAAATTCTCTTGCATCTAATTAATTATAAAGGATCAGTTATGTAAAGTGAATATAATGACCAAACCTCCATTAGAAAGAAGTGATTCAGTCAAATAGGTTCACAAAATTGTTTCCCCAACACTGTAAAACCAAATAAGTTACTTTCACTTAAGAAATGGTTGGAAATTGTAAGTAAAACTGACTCAATTTTGTCAATTTTATTCGTACTGTGAAAACAAAAAACCTAGTACTTAAGAGTATTTCTGACTTACAAAATTGAGTTTGTGTTACTTAAAATCTTAACAGTATTTTTGAGTTAGAATAACTTACATTACAGTGTATTATGAAGTCAGAACCAGAACAAAGGCACACTGTTACAGTAAGCAGCTCTATCTATTCTCACATCACATTGACAAACTGCCCATCTTCAGCATATAACATCATGACAGATCCATGCTCGTATTCTAAACCGTGGCCCCCCCTTGCCCTCTTTTCCAGCCTGTAACATTAAAGTTGAGGCTCGCAGTGATGAGGAGAATGGGCTGGCCTGTGACATGAATGGCGTGGAGGAGGAGGAGTGCGCGGAAGACTTGCGCGTGATCGATGCCTCGGGGGCCAAGGTGAACGGCTCACAGCCGAGCCCCGAAGCCAAAGCCTTCTCCTCGGCCGGCGGTATCCGGCTGCCCAACGGGAAGCTCAAGTGTGATATCTGTGGGATAGTTTGCATTGGCCCCAATGTGTTGATGGTGCACAAGCGAAGCCACACTGGTAAGCCGTCTGCAATCCTTCTTCCCCTTCCTTTGCACCCATGTTCACTGTTAGTATGAGAGGATGGATCAGGGGTAGAAAGGTGGCTCCCCCTCATGCTTAGAGCATTTCTTTAGACTTTAAAAGTCAAAAATGAAGTGAGTTGTACTGTAGCTTTGTGTCTTCTTTGCCTACACACAAACATAAGTGATAGAGTCTTAGAAATAAACTTTAAAGCCTGTTCTTATGTTTGCAGTCACCCTTATACTCAGTAGTTGTAATGGCATCCTCGCGTTTGGCTCTGTGCATGTAGACCCTCCTATCGTGCGTGAAATAGACTTTGAGCATACCATTAGCGTTCATTATTGTTCATCTAAATGACTGAATTACCACATGACAAGCAACAGTAACTGATCAAATTATTGTGCGATAAAGTAGCAGAGACGAACTTGGTCAGGAAAAAAAAAAAAAAAAAACATGCCCTCAGTTGAGAAACAGGATATCTGCTGCAATTAAATGGAATCTCTATGAACTGACAATTATCTGCCTATTAAAAGTTTTTCAAATTTCAAAATTGATATTCTATTGTAATGAAGCCAAAGCAGTGGTGGGGAACATTTTTGAAAAAGGCACTTAACTGTCAAGCTTTAGAAACTAATGAAACTCAAAATGGAAGAAAGGAACACTAGACTAATGTAAATGCAAAAGAAAGTACAATAAAAGATATAATGAAGTGCCTCCTATTTAAATAGAAAATATTCTGTGGTGAGTCTTTGCTCCTGAAATGCATTTTTAATGAATTTCCTTTTTTATATATTTTTGCTGCTTCACTGGTGACTCTTATTTTATGGGGGGCCTTTGAAAAAGAAAAAAAAAAAGCCATATTAAAACGTTCTCACAGAATGCCACAACACTCGGAGAGGCTGGATATTGGTTTATTCCAGAAGCGCTGATCAGGAAGACTGGCTCTCAACACAAAGTGTTTCCTTTGCTTTATTCAAATGAGGCTGAATTTGCATTGTGATGTGCCGCTCTTATTTTAGAGACGAAGAAGAGGAAAAAATGAGATTTTCAGATCAAATTGACCTAGGCAATGGTGCATTACGGAACTGGCAGGCTGAGTCTGAAAGGCTCTTGTTCGATCAGAGCGCCAGAAGTCGGTGGGGCAGGGGGAGCATGGAGAGATGGAGTGTCACTCTGCTGTGAAACCCTCCCACAGGCTGCTGGATCACTCTCTGCCCTAGAGACGCTCCATCATCCGGCTTGTTCTGCCGCTCGGGATTGCTTGTAGTGCAGTGACCCTGCATTCCCACAGCAGCAACATGCTTTTTCATCCACATAGAGAAGACTTTGTGCTTTTATTGTTGTCAGTGGAGGGATCAAACATACAGTGGTGAGATTAGAGAGAGTAGTGCAATCAAGAAAACATTAAAAATCATGAACTGCCTGGTAGGGTACTTAAAAAAAACATAAAAATCGGGTGCTAGTAAAACATACAAGTTATCCTTTTTCATTTTTTTGTGTGTGTTTTATCTGCATCTCTGTAGAGTAATGTCTGTTGTGTTCTTGTCCTCAGGAGAACGTCCTTTCCAGTGCAGCCAGTGCGGTGCCTCTTTCACCCAGAAGGGCAACCTCCTGCGACACATCAAGCTCCATTCAGGGGAAAAACCCTTCAAGTGTCACCTGTGCAGCTACGCCTGCCGCAGGAGGGACGCCCTCACCGGCCATTTACGCACCCATTCGGGTGAGTATGCGCAGCTCTCCCTCACTGAAAACCACTCGTGGTGTTTCTAGGACTGCTGCGTGGAAGCCTTTACAAAAGGCATGACATGTTCTGCAGTGCATACAGTGAGAGCTATGTAAGGGGAAGTTGACAGGGTGTAGATATGGTGTCACTTTTTTTTTTGCAAATAGTTTGCAGAAGTATGTGTTAATGAAATTTTTGGGTGTAAACAGTACACTTACAAAGCCTGCTCTTAATATTTTAGTAGTAGTATCTGTACTTAGAACAGTGAAACCATAACCTGCTAATTGTACACCAGTTTTAAATTAAATCAATTTGCACATTCAACTGCTTTAAAGGTGCAATCAGCGTTTCTAATCCAATATGCTTTTTGTCAAATTCAGCCAGGTTGAGCTGCTCTGATTGGCTGTGCAGCTTCGACTGTCACTAAAATATGATTCTGAAACGATTTAAGGAGAGAAATAGGCAACACAATAACAGAATCTTGATTCATATTTGATCAGCACTGCCTAGTGGCAAGAAGTAGACTAATTTCTCCATAAGACTGTATGCTATGTTTATTGCAGCCAATGAAGCTCCCCCTGCTGGCTGTTACATAAAATGCAGGTTTAAGACACTTCTGCCCTGGCTTTACTTCACAGACCCAGCAGCTTTGTCCTTTATACATGAGATATTTGACAGTGAGACTTTATTTATTTATTTTACTGTCGTCAAATCCCATGAAAGGGTTAAACCAGCAGTGTGTTATTCTGACTCTCATCCCTACTGTGTTTGTGACTCATCTTCAATCCCATTCATTCCTCGCAGGGTCACTGTGATGATGATGAATAATGTTCATCCAGTGAAACAAAGCGGCTCATTTACGTGTTGTTTTTTTTTAGCATTCTTCTGAGCTCTATCTTAGATTTTGGTCTACAGCAAAGAGGAATAAGCTATAGTTGTGGTTTATGCTCAGAGTAGCCAGAATTTCCCACTAAAACATCTGACCAGTCAACATAAGGATTTCTTTGTTTTGTATTTTATATATTCAATAGACTATGTTTCACAACTGTGGGTCTATAATTATGTAGTCTTCTCTACAAAGCCAGGAAGAAACTGCTGCCGGACTCAATCCTTTATTTATTTATTTTGAATTGAGTCTATACAGGAATCCGCTTATAAAAAACCCTCCATGAGTTGGACAAGTTTTTATCTGTAGAATAGAAACTCCCCCAAGTTACTTCCCGAATTCCCCCCAAAAAATCCAACACAGGACATTACCTCAGTAGTAGCTGGCTACAACCAAACTCATGATGCCATACCAAGAAGAAATGTGATGGTTTTGCACTGGACTTCCCAAAAAACTGTCACTGTGAGTTAAACAAAGTGGGTGGAACAGCCAGGCCATTTCCTTGGGTTTTCTGTCAAAGTTTATGTAGGTGGTGCTTTTTAAAAAAAAATCTTCTTCACCTAGTTTGTCTTCTATTTATTCCAGTCAAACTAGAAATAAAAAAGCCATCATTTCCTGTGTTTTTCCAGGAAATAGCTACCTAATAGGGCATTTAGAACAGCAGATTGAACTAACTAAAGCTTCAAGCATTATTGTGTAACTAAACCAAAGTGTATTCATTTAAAAATGCCATATACTTATATAAATAAATAAATAATATCAGGCATCACATAGAATATTACACTGCTCTGTTCACTTACATAATGTTATTTGTTGCAGTCGGAAAACCCCACAAGTGTGCTTACTGTGGGCGGAGTTACAAACAGCGCAGCTCACTGGAGGAGCACAAGGAGCGATGTCACAACTACCTCCAGTGCATGGGCCTGCAGAACAGCATATACACAGGTTGGTGCCTCACGTGACGCACACTGAGCTGTCACCCAAATATAATGACCTACTTTAGTCTAAGTGCAGGACTCACTGTGCATGCAACAGCAGTCTACCATGCCGACATTGTTGCTGTTACTAAACGCTCCAACAAGTCAGGCAGAAGTTATTTAGCCATTAAAGAGCTAATTAAGTCAAATTAATCATGTTGTCAGTGTAAAGTTCTGTATGTGGTCATATATAGTCAGCCAGTCATAAACTGAATGAACAAAAAATTCTTGAGAAACACATCTACATCTGTGAGCATGAACAGATTCTATATTTATAGACCAAGTGCTTCACATGTGTCAGAATAGTCCGCTCTGTGCTCTGTGAGAAAAAGTACCATCGTGTGTTATCAGGCGCCAGTTCATCACTTTAAACAGAACAAACTCAACTTACTTTGACTCTGAAATCTACTTTTCTGTCTTGCTTTCCAGTAATAAAGGAAGAAAGCAACCAGAATGAGCAGAGGGAAGACTTAAGCCAGACGGGATCTGACAGAGCCTTGGTGCTAGACAGACTAGCTAATAATGTAGCTAAGCGTAAGAGCACTATGCCACAGAAGTTTGTGGGTAAGGGCTGAAATCTGCTTCTTTTGTGTAAATATAATGTCGCTGCATTTGATGAAAAAAAAAACCTGTTACTGCTGCACGTATAAAGCTGCATAGGTTAATTTGTTTTGCCACCCTGGCTCTGCAGAATGCATGCAGACAAAAGGTCTATTTTTGCAGTTCAGCCTGATGTAGGAATTGTTAATTTAACTTCTTTATTTACTTTTTGAAAAGGCTGTGATTTGTTATTAATCCTGTATATTAATTTTACATTAAGATGATAGTAATCTTCATAAAAAAAGAGGGTGAAATAAAGTATTAAGAAGCTGAGGGAAGTGGTAGAATCAGACCATGAGACCAGAAAAAACAATGGTGAGTCATTTTCAAACTCAGCTAGGGAGGAGTAACCTCAGTATTAAGATCACAGGATGTAGACGAAAGTTTAAGTGTGTGAGTAACCTTCACGTTCTTCACACATGTCTCTCTCTGGTCTCTCAGGTGACAAACGTCTGTCAGACCTCTCCTACGATGGAGGAACAGGTGAGCTGATTCAGCCCCACGTCATCGACCAGGCCATCAACAGCGCCATCAGCTACCTGGGGGCCGAGTCGCTCCGGCCTCTGGTCCAGACCTCCCCGGCCTCCTCTTCTGACGTGGGCCTCAGCTCCATGTTCCCTCTCCACAAGCAGGCGCCCGAGGGCCACGCGGGGACGGGCTTGTCAGCCAAAGACAGCGCAGCTGAGAACCTGCTGCTGCTGTCTAACTCCAAGTCTGCCTCCAGTGAGAAGGACGGCTCACCCAGCCACAGCGGCCAGGACTCCACAGACACCGAGAGCAACAATGAGGATCGCCCAGGCGGGACGGCCACCGGCCTCATCTACCTGACCAACCACATCACCTCAGGGGTGAGGAATGGCGTGCTGGTGAAGGAGGAGCAGCAGAGGCAGTACGAAGCCATCCGGGCAAGCATCGAGATGGCCTCCGAGGGTTTCAAGGTGGTGACGGCAGACGGGGAGCAGGTGAGGGCGTACCGGTGCGAACACTGCCGCGTTCTCTTCCTCGACCACGTCATGTACACCATTCACATGGGCTGCCATGGCTTCAGAGACCCCTTCGAGTGCAACCTCTGTGGTCACCGGAGTCAAGACCGATACGAGTTCTCCTCTCACATAACGCGAGGGGAGCATCGCTACTGAGCCCCAGAGAACGCACACACTTTCACACAGACAAACAGGTGTACGTATGAAAAACATGCCACACTCACTCATTGACATCCCCCTGAAATAAATGCATAGAAAGAAAATGAGACGTAATGTATAATACACTGTTGATGTCTGAAAGTTGTGTTTTTTTTATACAAAGTATGCATGTTTGTTGGACACAGATAAATGTGAACTACTATTAAAAAAATGCATTTACTTTAATTTCAAATGAAGACTAGTTCATCAGAATAATGTTCAGTTACTGTTCCACAGCCTACATAGGATTTAAATCATGTATTTACAGTTGCCACATGTATAAAATGTATAAATGTGTCTTTTCTTTTGGAAAACCAGGCAGCAACTTTTCTTCTAGATTTAAAATAGAAAAGATATCCACCCTTACATTTAAAAACCACTGAACTGAAGTGTCTGAAATGTCAATAAAATATTCTATTCTGCAGTTTTCAGTGCAGTAAAACCTCCATTTTAATATTGGTATAAAACAATCAATGTAGATTCCAAAGTTTCAACCTGTTCTTGTATTTGTAACAACCTACGTATTATTTATATCACATTTACACGCCTGTGTGTTTTTGTATTTATTACAGTGATCGATGTTTGTCTGTAGGGTAGGTAATAAAAGCTGCATCTCTCTCTGTCCAATTGTACTAAATGTGTTTGAGGTGAAAACATGACTGCTGCTGGAAGCTTTAGTTTTATCAAAAGAAAATGTTATCAAGGCCTTTTGTTATATACCTGATGGCTATGGATTGTTTCACTCACAAAATGAAAATTAGCCGTTCGAGGTTTGAAGGAGCTTTATGCTTGCAAAATATCAATAAAGGATATTTTATATATGCACAAAGAGTGGGGAAGTGTTTTGTCTTTCACTGAATGAGTGTTTATTATTGATGAAATAGTTTAATATTATTTTAATTAAAGGATACTCAATGGCAATTGTATATGATTTTAACAGAATAGCTTTTCTTTCCTGCACTATAATCACAAAGAATATGGAAATGTTCACTTATATAATAATGATTTCTGGAGTTAATGCAAAGTTTCTCTGAGTTTTAGTGTATCATTTTCGCTTCTTAAGAAATGTGGAGATTTCATTTCACACTCTGGAACCTTCTGAAATAATTAAGTTTAGATGTCATTCAAGATGCTGCTCACTCCCACCTGTCAAGGAAGAGCCAAGAATGACTGGCATCTGAGTACAAAACAGAAAAACACTGAACACACTGATGGAACATTTACAGTGAGAGGTGAATAAATAAACACTTCTCCCCATGCTGTACAATTAAACTGTGTGGTTGCAAAGTACCGAATAGATTTAGCAAAAAATAAAGCATCAAATATAAATCTTTTCTTCAGTGTTTTTGTAGTTATAAAGCATTATTTAAAGCTAAAAACATTCATTTATATTGTCTTATAATTTACCAAGGATGCCAGAGTAAACAGGGCTAACACATCACAGTGGCATTTGTCTGCACAGAGACCCTCGTGTTAAAATTGAGACATCAAGGGAGTTCTGGTGCCATAAGCAGCACACCCACAAAAGGGTGTGTGAGAGTGTGGAGTTGCTCAGTGCACACACACACACACACACACACACACACACACACACACACACACACACACACACACACACACACACACACACACACACACACACACACACACACACCAGCATGTCAACATGTGCCGTGTCCAGGACCTGAAGAGTCCCGCTGGTCCTCTGAGGAGCAGCAGCAGCAGAGAGCTGGGACAGAGAGGATCAGGCACTGGAGCAGAAGGCAGGGGCCGGGGCTCTGAGGGCCAGGCCTGTCTGGAGAGGCTCAGCCGAGGCCGATAGTGGAGCTCGGAGGCGTTGTGCAGCGACAGACTCGTCCAGATGGCTGCTGTGTGATTTAGCAGAAACGGGAAGCAGCTGTGGTCAGCACTGAGCCCCCTCCCACGCTTGACTGGGACCAAACAGGGGAGGGAGGGCATTTGCATGAGAGGGATAATCTGGCCAACCAACTCGGGCCCTGCCAGAATCCCAAATCTCACTTCCCCTTTCAGCCAGCTGACTGAAATACTCAGACTCCACCATTTGTGCTGTTAACAGGGTCCAACAAGATGTTGGTAGATTCTTCACACTTTACATGACTGAATATTCACTGCAAACTTTGTGAAGTAAGTCGCTGTTTAAATTCAACTGGTGTTTCTCAACATTTGGGGCCGACTGCACAATTAAATGCACAATTAGATATAACATCTGATTGCCCCTCTTGGCTTTTTTTCACATGACTGGATGTCTATTTGGGAATGGGCAATGAGCAAATGGGCCCTTCTGCATACTTGATTCTGGGCATCAAGTTCCAGTGATGGAAAGTAACTAAATACACTCACTACTCAAGGTACTTGTTATATACTTGTTATACTTAAGTATTTTTATTTTATGCTATTTTATAACTACATTTCAGAAAAGGAATATTGTTATTTTCCTCTACTACATTAAATACACTGGATCAAATATTAAACCAGTGGTTCTTAATCTATCTGGTTTATGACAAGTTACAAAAAAACAAGTCTGTTTTGGGCCCCTTGTCACGTTTCAGATGTCCAAGAGTTGTCAGCAGTTCCACCAGACGTTTCCCCTTAAACTTCACTCATGGTTTCATTTGAAAGTGTTTGAGGCCCAAAGAGGTCAAATTCACAAAAAAGTGAAAGAGTGTAAGAAATATATATAAATGTGTGCAGCAGAACATGTGTTTTGCTTTAACTATCTCACAACCCCTCAGATGTATCCTCTGCACCACTTGGAATAACTACACTAAACTAACTTAATATATAATATATAATAATAATATAATAATACTTAAAACAAGTTGCAACTCAACCAGCTACAACAGTAAAATGCTACTAATGCACTGATGCATCAGTGTTATAAACAACCTATTTAATATATTATTAATATTAATATATAATAGTAAAACACTAAAACCCCTTTCAACAAAAAGCAGTATGTTTACTTTTAATACTTCAAAGTTATTATTATTGATAAATGGTGCAAGTACGTATTTAAACTACTGAAAACACTCTGATACAGATACAGTCAGAAATGCAACAGAAGACCAGCAGGTGTATCTATTTACAGTGAACTCAAACAAACTCATGTTGCTTTACTAATAAAGCTGTAAGTAATGATAAAAAACATTTCAGATTTAATGCTGCAAATGGCGGTAACGGAGTAGTTATCCAAAATATACATATGAAGGCAGTTTGAATGTGTGGAAATGGCAGACCCACCACCAACAATGAAAACTACTATATAATAATTACATAATGTAAATACATTAAAGGGATATTGCTGAAAAAAATGCCGATTTTTTCTTTTGCTTATACTTTGGTATTTTTTGACTTGGAGTGAAATTCATTCATAAATACACATTGACCCTTACATAGTGCAGGAACAGGCATTCAGGAGTATGAATGAAAGAGGCGCCATTCACTCTAATACAAGTCAGTGTACAATAAAAAGGATTTTAAAGGCTGTTATTTAATACCATAAAACCTCAACTACAACTGAACTCAGCCTGCCTTTATTTGGAACAGGCTTCTATATGGGACAGGACTTTTAATGTGAAATACTATCAGATTATTTATTTAAACCAGTATGAATATAACTTATTTAAGAACTAGGCTATTGAATAACAATTACCCATCATTCATTAGATCATTTGAGACGTTGGTTTCATTTATGTCGTGCAGGCGTTCTAAGCAGCAACCCAGTGGGCTTTAAGAGGTTTAATACATCCCAGAGACCTTTATTTGTTAAACACTGTAGCCACTCAGGCAAATAAAGGACACCTGCCTCTAATCAGGACCCTGCTTTTAATTAACGGTAGTTACATAATGTTCATACGGCTCTATTCTCTACAGCACCGGTGTTGTGAGTTTTTAAAGCAGAGGAAAACTATGGAGTGAAACTACACTGAATATGATTTATGCACGGAAAACAAACAAAACAGTTTGATAAAGCCATCGTGCCGACCTTTATTTCACTAAAATCCAATTTGTATCCCCTTTTTATTAGTTGCTTCCCCTGTCATTGTTAATGTTTGACCACAGCTGTGGAGTGTGGGAGAAGTTTGCTTTAACCACTGATCTCTGGGAACTTTATACCAAACATAAGGCAGTTATTAAAAAACAAATCCTCACCATCTCCCGGTTACTTTGTCTCTGTATACATTTCTAGCTCAGATTTGAATGACAAGCCTAAAGGCAGTAAAATTATTGTTTGTTTTCAATAAACATACTGTGTAATGTGTGTGTTTGTGACCACGTAAGCACAGATGGGACCACTGCTGCACAGCCACAGTCAAATTGAGCTACAAGCTTACACCATATGGCACCGTTTTTCGGTCCATACTCTATGGATCCCGCCAGCACCAGAGGAATTCTGTGCATCTGTCCCAGTCCAGCTGTGAGTCTCCGTCCCCGTGTACGGAGAAACGCCCGAGGGAAGGGTTGTGTGACTTCTTTCACTGCTGGCTAATTCAACAAAGTTTCAATACAGTGGCCAACCACACGCGTCTGAAATATTTATAAGGGACTTGACAAAAAGATGAAAAATGAATGAAAGTCTTTTTTCATGGTCTTCCAGATTTTCAAGATTGCTTCGTTAAATTTACATGAGAATTTCATTTCATGTGTGCACAATCTATAATTGTCCTCCTCGACAGCACAGTGCATGTCTGACCATTGAGGCACTCAACTCAAAAAACACCAGTGTTAAAAAACTCAGTGATCGATTAATCAACCTTCTGCTTGTGTGGAGGAGAGCAAGCGTCTGTCTTATTTATTAATACTAATAGCTGAGAAATTAAATACAGGTACAGAAATATATACATCTACAGCAGCCATGAGCCCCATGGATCAAGGTCATCACAATTTAAATCATGAAAAGTGCTTAATTTCTAATAGAAAGTGACACAGACTGCAGCAGTCTTAATCACCAACAGGAAGGGAGTCAAAGCTAAAGCAAAGTTTTAAGTTGGATACTTACTGTGTTGCCCAACTTCTGCGGATATGATTAACACATCCAGCCTCGGGAACATTTCAGGACAACGTTACTGAGATGTGCAAGTAAAACTCTCAACAAAGTGATCACACTGCCCTCTGTGGAGTAGATGGGGAAGAGGATTAAGTGGGGAAATGCCACAATACACCAGAGATAAACCTACAATTCATTTGTTTCAGTTCTGAGACATAAACAAAACACGTAAATCAGGGAAAACTTTAATTTGATTGTGAAAAAATAACATTTAAGCAACGCAATTAATCAACAAAAATCATTCAGGGGAGAATATCTTTGGGAATAAATGCTAAATAGTCAGAATATGACAAAAAAGGATGCTAATTGCTGTAAAGGAATTCAGACAAGAGATAATTGCTTCAACTTGAACACAACAGCAGGGTCCCTAATGCTTACATCGAACCACAAAACAGTAAAATTAAGATCCAAACAGAACAGTCTATGCATTACAATCTCCTGAAAATATTAATGCAGCACAGCGACTGCTCCACACAGAAGTCATTTAAGAATTACGTGTATGGCTGCATTTCAGACATTTTCAAAACCCACTTGTTTCAGCTGATGATGATTTGTTTTTATTCCAGGTCTGCCTGTAAGTAAGGACGAACGTTAATAGGCCACAAAACCCGAGAGGTTGGACACACAAGAGGTGGACAAAATAACCGAAACCTGCTCAGTATAACGCGATCTAACACACATCTCTGCTTTTAGAAAACAAATCTTTGTGAAGCTTTTTGGTGAGGCTTTCACAGAGTTGTTGATCTGAAACTGCAAGCTCATGTTTTTAGGCAATAGTGTAAAGTACTGCTGCCATTCTGTCCACCCACTCTATGTGGTGTGTGTGCAACACAATATTCAGCCTCTCCAGGATTTTGCAGACTTTAAGGGGATTGTTGCAGCCTAAAATGACTGATTTCACACAGATTTTTTGCAATTAATTAGTGTGAGAAAGTGAAATTTGCCCAAAAAATATTGTTGTAAATGTTGTATAATTCATTAAAAAACGGCAACTTGTTACAGTGAGAATAAAACACTGTTTGGACAGGGTTAATGTGAGACATTTGCATTTGGTGACACGGTTTTAAGCAGAAAATGAGACAATTAAATCATGTTTGCAGAAACGTTTGGACAAAATTTGGACAAAGGTCGTAGAGAATTCATCAAGATTGTTTGAATTTGTGTTAATGCTCATTTAACAGCTATATTTCTGAAATGTTTATCTCAACTCAGTTCAACATCACATCCATAACTTTATCGAGGTAGAGGATAATCGGAGTGATGACTTTAACGTCCACATCCAAAAGTCTTATTCCACTCTTCATACAGCTCCAAGTCTTTTGATGACACACTGGGTCGGACCGTCTTCAGGGCCTCCTGGAAGTCACAGTAGAGGATTGGTCGCACCTGATCTGCAGTGATAGTGGCGATGTCACTGAGCTGGATGCTGCGGATGGGCCCCAGAGCCGCCTCTCTACACAGCTGAGTCATATCGGCCCCTGAGAAGCCCTCGGTGGCAGTGACCACGCTGTCCAGCTCTTGCTCTCTCAGCTGGTTCTTCTCTTGAGCCATGAGGTTAGTCACTATCTGCCGCCGGGCGGTTGCTTCAGGGAGAGGTATGTACAACCTCTTTGCCAGTCGTCGGCGGGCAGCCTCGTCGATCTCTTGGGGCCGGTTTGTGGCACCAACCACCAGGATGCGGTCCTCAGCTGCTGTGGCTGCCCCATCCAGCTGAACCAAGAACTCCGTCTTTATCCTACGCGATGAGTCGTGCTCCCCGTCCGTCCGCTGGGACAACAGAGAGTCAATCTCGTCAATGAAAATGACAGCAGGCTGGTGGCAGCGGGCGATGGCAAACAGAGCTCGCACCATTTTCTCTCCTTCGCCCACCCACTTGGATGTGAGCGACGAGGCGCTGATGCTGAAGAAGGTGGCACCTGACTGGCAAGCTATGCATTTTCCTATTAGAGTTTTTCCGGTTCCTGGGGGTCCAAACAAGAGGATGCCTTTGGGTGGACCACGGAGGCCAGTAAAGATGTCAGGTCGGAGCATGGGCCAAACCACGATCTCCTTTATAGTGGTCTTGGCAAACTCCAGGCCTGCTATGTCATCCCAGGTCACAGGAGGCCCGTGATCCATAATCTCACTCATGATCAGCTCGATTATCTTCGGCTCAATGTTTTTCAGACGCTCATCCAGGATCTGAGGTTCCTCACTGGGATTACGGCTCGTCCCACCTTCTTCCTCCTCCTGACGTGGAATAGGTGACACGAATTTGGAAAATGTACCTCGAGGTCTGTTAGCACCCAGAGATTTCTTCACAGTCGCTGCCATCCCAGCGGCCGGACCTCTCTGGGGCTGATGGGAGTGCTTTTTCTGTTGATCCACAATGAACTGATAGCGAGCTGTTTTAAAGCTGCTTCCAGCTTGCGGGTCAGCGCCTGCTTGAGCTCCGTGTTGCCCCCTGCCACCATCACCTCCATCTGGGTTGTAAAAATTCTTCCGCTTAGATGGATTGGAGGTGGAGAAGGAGGACTGATAGTTCTGTGTGCTGGCTGCAGGGCCTGGGTTTCCCTGTGGAGGAACCGAAGAAGGATGTGGACGGGCTGGAGGTCGGGAGAATGAGCTCAGACTACCTGAGATCACCTCATAGCCTCTTGGCCTCTCTGACGTAATATTAGAAGCAGGATTCCTGGCAGTGTTGTTAACCTCTGTTTTAGGCTGTGGTGGTCCTATAGGTTTGAACAATGCAGCCTCTGACCTGACTCCGGTAGAGGGAGCAGACAGGGAGCCGCCTCTGCTCTCTTGCCCCACACATATGTTAACATCTCCTGCTGCCACCAGGGAGCCTCCTCCCCCTGCCCCTGCCCGAATCATCTTCTGCACGCAGGGCAGCTCCAGCACAGTCTCCATCGTCAGGGACGACTCCCATTTGTCGCTGTAGTTCCTCTGACTGCGGGCCAGATGCAAAGCACTCTCTGCATAGTTGTTAAGCCCTGCGCGGGGGTCATCCGAGTCCAGCACTGCGGCATAGCGCTCCGAGTAGGTCCTGAGCAGGCTGGCCATGCCGGCCTGAGAGAGCTGGGAGCTTGCCCATGCATACTGAATAGAGAGGATGTGGGCCCGGTAGGCATCGGCCGTCTGTTCAGGTGTACAGTTGCCAGATGAAATGTCAAAGGACCTCCTCTGCCATTCGTCCAGGTGTGCGCCACTCATGCCTGGCCTGCTCCAGTCTGATGAAGGAGAGGGGACAAAGGTTATTAAAAATACATGATCTCAGTAAAAGCCAAGGCGCACATCGCCCCCTGTACCCACACACACACATAAGAAGTTACATTTCATTACACTGTGTGAGATGTATTGGCACAGGATACAGGGGGTTCATTGATTCAGTATTGCACTTTTATAAAGTTCAGGGACGGAAAAGAACTGATTAAAAAAAGCACGGTTGAATTTGAAGCAGCAGAGGCAGAGATATTCTGACATTTATTCAATAGTAGGGGTCAAGCTCCAAAAAAATGCTGGATCCCACTCATTAACATTCCCAACTCAACAGCATCTCTTCGTTAAGACCCTCCCTGCCTCGTTAATGCCCACGTCTTTGAAACACCTCGATTTTTTGATCTGTTAGTTTCACCTGATGTGACCTGTAAATGTAAAAGGGTCTCCGGTAAGTTTGGTACAGAAACATTAATTCTATTTAGTGAAAAGTATAATCCAAATAATTATACAATACAAAATGAATCATAACAGGTCTGAATTTAGTGAAGAAGGAACACAAGTTTGAGTAGCTGAAAAGTACTATAACTACTAGTGTAACTAATTACTGTTACCAAGTAAAACAATATTACTTTTATGATGATTAAATTCAAAGAATCTATAACCAAGTTTGACTTTAAATAAAGAGGCTACAATCTAATATATTGCAATACTATAAGCAAATCTAATTATAGGAAAAATGTCCTGGTATAAATTAGACGCCAACATATACACAAAAACTGAGTAAAGAGCAAATACAACACTGCTACGTAGTGTTTGGGGGTTCAAACACAAAAATCAATACAGTGTTTTTAGGAATATCACAAAAAAAACAACAAAAACAAAAAGCAAATGATATATTTTTATATTACCTTACACCTGTATAGCCCTCTATGACATTTACAATATATACATGTATATACACACACACACACACACACACACATATGACTAACGTTATGTATAGATATGTAGATAAACTAAACCAAACTATTTCCTATAGGATTTCTGGACGGTTTCTATTGGAAAACCTGACAATTAATGACAGGTAATGACTAATAAATGACATTTTTAAGAGTAACACTGCTAGTAAATGAATAAATGTGGGGAAGTAAGTTCCTTTAACTTTAGTTTATCATGCATGCCACTGAAACCTGTATGACATACAGTTATAACAATAAACAACCTGACAGACAGACACACAGCTACAGACACACTGCTACAGACACACAGCTACAGACACACTGCTACAGACACAAAGCTACAGACACGCTGCTACAGACACACACAGCTACAGACACAAAGCTACAGACACACAGCTACAGACACACTGCTACAGACACAATGCTACAGACACAAAGCTACAGACACAAAGCTACAGACACACTGCTACAGACACACTGCTACAGACACACACTGCTACAGACACAAAGCTACAGACACACACTGCTACAGACACACACTGCTACAGACACAAAGCTACAGACACACTGCTACAGACACACTGCTACAGACACACACTGCTACAGACACACTGCTACAGACACAAAGCTACAGACACAAAGCTACAGACACACTGCTACAGACACACACTGCTACAGACACACTGCTACAGACACAAAGCTACAGACACACTGCTACAGACACACTGCCACAGACACACTGCTACAGACACACTGCTACAGACACAAAGCTACAGACACGCTGCTACAGACACGCTACTACAGACACACTGCTACAGACACACTGCTACAGACACACTGCTACAGACACACACTGCTACAGACACACTGCCACAGACACCAGGTGTTCACCAGGCCACCCCACAGCGGATAAAGACACTTACTGTCGCTGATATCTTCTTATGACAAAAACAAATACGCACGAGGCAACAGACAACAAGTTGTATTCCCGCCACCTGTTTCTTGTTTTAAGCGATCGACTTCCGGCTGGTTCCAATTCGTTTTCCGAAAAGCTTAAATGTGTCCCTCGTCGCCGGTTTCGCGCCAAATGTAGAAAACCCAGACAAGAACTGAAGTGTCTGTTTGTGTAACCGGTAAAATATCGATTTAAGACGCAAACAAAGCAACAACAACCAGCGTACGTGGAGCGAAAAAGTTACGTGAAGCTAATCGGAACGGGACCCATAACGTGTCACAGCCGGGGAGTGTTCGATTTACGCTCCCGGTTCGCCCGGAAACTCGTCACTGACCGTTAATGTGTTATTAATGTCGCTCCGTTACAGTCTCCGCGTAAAGCTACGTGATTAACGATGATTAATATTAGTCGGTTTTACCCAGAGGGAGAAATCTTTACTTGAGAGTTTTAAAACTTATTTTTTCTCCGTAGTCAGGTCTACGACGCCATCTTGTGGCGAGAAGACGCTAAAACAAATTCGACGGTTAGACGGTCGAGTTGTCGTGTTGTATTCTGGGAAATGTAGTAGCGACGTTGTTGAAAATTCAGCCGGGCACTGAATTTCGACATAAATTATATTTAAATAAACAATACGTGCGTGTAGATTACATTCCTAGTTATGTTTATTTACTTTTATTGCGTATAAGAATCAGTTAAATATCAACTACGTGCTGGATCAGCGTACGCGTAAACTACACTAACCACAACCGTTGAGCTTTTTGTTTATGCCGTCGACAGTGGATGACAGCGGCTGCAGAGAGAGGGAGCATACGCCGCCGGTGGGAAAATAGGCTGCGTTTGTGATATTGTGCAGCCAACTAAGCAAGGTAGTTAGTTAAAAACCCGCATTATTTATAATTAAACGTCTTCGCGTTTGAGGAGGGATACCGGAGAGTGCCCCGGATAGCTGATAACAGTTAGCCGAACCGGAGACGGGATGTAATACATGAATCCAGACGGGACCAGCCCCGGGAGCAGCAGTCAGTCACACCCTTGTCTGGCGGGGGTGGTGGTTTATTCCTGAAGCTCTAAAAAAACAAATAATAATCTGCTATCCTACAGATGTTGTGATGTTTTTGTATTCCCTAATGTTCGCCTGAGACTTGTGAACCGGTAGAAGAGTAGTTAACCGGGAAAGTGTGGATATGACTGACTCATCATTATGGCACGGACGGAGGAGATAACCCTGAACGGCCTGACTGCTGCAGTGCCAACCAGATAGCCTCACAACAGGCTACACTTCCTTTCACACACCCAGTCTTTTTTCTATTATATATATATATATATATAGATAGATATATAGTCAGCGTGGCATTATGAATTCCCCGGTGTACACCTTTGTCACCCGTGACGACAATAGCACTGTTTATGCAGAAGTTTCCAAAATCCTCCTCTCGACTGGACAATGGAAGAGGCTGAAAAGAGACAATCCCAGATTCAACTTAATGCTTGGTGAACGGAACAGACTGCCATTTGGACGTCTAGGTAAAGGATATTCTTCTTATTCCATAAATATATATATATATGTGTGTGTGTGTGTGTTTGTGTGCTATATTTGGTGCACACCCACTCAGGATGAGACAGCTGCTGTGAGGCTGTTTGCTTCAGCATCATTCCTCGTAGGTATGTTTTCATTGATGTCTAATCACTTGAATATGGGAATTTGCAGCAGTCAGAGTTTTCACAGTCAAATTCTGACGCGAGTGGTGTCCAGTTAGTTGCAATCAGCATCTGCAAACTAGATGCCACTGAATGCCACACACTGGTCCTTTAATGCACCTTAATGCGTCCTGACTTCGACTCCACAGGTCACGAACCAGGACTGGTGCAGCTGGTGAATTACTACAGAGGAGCAGACAAGCTTTGCAGGAAGGCGTCGTTGGTCAAGTACGTCAAAAGAGGAATCTGTAGCCTTTTTTTGTCTTGCCGTCATTTATGTAACTAATAAATTATTCAAGTGCGTGTTTACATTAGCTGACCATTTCTCCCTTCCTCACCATTAGGCTAATAAAGACCAGCCCAGAGCTGTCCGACTCCAGCAACTGGTTCCCAGAATCCTACATCATCTATCCCACTAACCTCAACACCCCCGTTGCTCCAGCTACAAATGGCATTAGCCATCTGAAGAACAATCCCAAGACGGATGAGAGGGAAGTTTTTTTGGCCTCCTATCACTCTAAAAAAGAAAATGGGGAGGGTACAGTGTGGATAGCCAAGTCTTCTGCTGGAGCTAAAGGTAAAATCTGTAGTTTCACTAGTTTAAATCCCAGATACGAGTTAGCTTTAGGCAGACATTTTCACTGTAGTGTCTTCTTAAATGACATTGACTTGTATCAAAGAGATTACATACTCCCTCGGAGCTATTTTGAATCTGCTAAAGGCAACCATTTTCTCTTTTAAATAGACGGTGTGGTAGAAGGCATATATTACACATTAACATATTTGTTTTTATTGCAACAGGTGCTGGTATTTTGATATCCCATGATGCTAATCAGCTGCTGGAGTACATCGATAATCAGGGACAGGTTCATGTTATTCAGAAGTACCTGGAGAAACCTCTGCTTCTGGAGCCGGGACATCGGAAGTTTGACATAAGGCAAGTCTTTTATGTGTAACACAAGTTACTAGTCTGTGTGGACTTTGTAGCTGAGGCTCTTATGTGTTATGTTATGCTATTTCTAGGAGCTGGGTGCTAGTGGACCATCAGTACAACATTTACTTATACCGGGAGGGCGTACTGCGGACTTCCTCAGAGCCCTACAACAGCTCTGACCTCCAGGACATGACCAGCCACCTGACCAACCACTGCATCCAGAAGGAGCACTCCCAGAACTACGGACGATATGAGGAGGGGAACGAGATGTTCTTCGACGAGTTCAGGCTGTACCTGCTGAACACTCACAATGTCACCCTGGAGACCACCATATTACCTCAGATAAAGCAGATTATAAAGTAGGTCCTTCTTGTTTTTTTAATTTTGGATGTCATCTACAAAGCACATATTTATTTTATTTCACTCCGTGGTTCTGCAGACTTTACTACTGAAGAATGCGGAGTTACAAACAAGAGATGAGATAACTTTGTTGTAGTTTGAGGGCATGTGGCAAATGAGAAAGCCACTGATTTCAGCTTGTAAATAAGTGAGATCTTTACTGCTCCATTGCATCAAATCATATTATCTTTGCGTAACTTGGATAGGATTGTTGACTAAAAACAAAAATATATCAATAGTGATTTATTTAATGTCAAACTCATCCTTTAGGCACATACTATTTATGTCTAACATAATGACTTTCATCCATTAAAGCTTAAAAGTTTTATTATCAAGCAGGTTTCTCAACCTGGATATTTAGAGATTAGTTTTCCAGTCGTCAAAGTTACCGGGAAATTAATTAAAATGACCAAATATCCTGGAAATAACCTATGTTGTCCTGGAACTTTTGAAATTGTATTTCAGCCCTTCGCTCACAGATATACGGCTCAGATGTGGGCGAAAAAATAATTAGTTCGAAACTCGACAACTCAAAGTGGAAGTGGAAATAGACTCGGTGTTGAGTCTATTTTTTCCAGAGCCACGAGCAGAATTCTCATGAAAGCCCAGTGGAAAAAAAAAATAATAGTGTTGTTGTTGCAGTTGATAAATATATGAACAGCAAAGTTAACTGCACATGTAGTACACACGTTCTACTTCTTCTTTCAACTGGCTAATAGGTTAGAAGATAAAACAATAATAAGACCATGTAGCGCCTTGTGACAAACGGTATCTGTAAATCTATTCTGTTCTTCACGGGAAGCCGGTGAAGGGACGAGAGGATTCGTGTGATGTGGGACCGACTGTTGGGTTTAGCTCGAGCTGGAGGCCAGACAGGACTCCTTGGGCCTGCATTAGTAATTCTGGACCTCTGGTTGATTTGATTTAGATTTTTGTGTGACGTTTCGGACCAATATTAACCCGTTTCGTTTGGCTTAACTGAAAAATAAGCGGTGGCGAGAAGTGCGATTGAACTGGCCAAGCAGCTTGTGTAGAGGTAACATGTATAATGAGAAAAGGATGGGACCGAGGAAATGGAAATTATTTTTCTGTCTGGTTTTCACAGGAGCTGTCTGACATGTATCGAGCCGACAATCAGCACCAAGCACCTGTCCTACCAGAGCTTCCAGCTCTTTGGGTTTGATTTCATGGTGGACGAGAGCTTCAAAGTGTGGCTCATTGAGATCAATGGAGCTCCAGCCTGTGCACAGTCAGTAACATTCAGATGATCACGCATGTTAAAATGGTTGTTTTTCAACATCTCTTTCAGTTTAACTTGTGTTTTTACCACTGTGTGTGTCTGTCTCCTATTCACATCTGTTCCTCCGGTCTACATTTAGACAGACTTTTTCCAGTATGGTGAAAACAAACTTCAATCTACTTCCCTACCTATCTAAAAATGTCTTGTCTTCCTCAAAGTCAGAAATATTGTTTTAAAGCTTAGCATTTGAATTTTGTTTCTTGTGAATTTTATTTTTAGAGCTTTGACTCCTCAGGAAGTTGTTCTATGCAGAAGTGTCGTGAATTAATTTCTTAAGTTAGATATTCACTCAGTCACAGCTAGCTTGTGGGATACGAGTGTTTCTCTTTGACTTTATTTTAAATTCACCAAGTCAGCAAGTGTGAAGGCCGAGTTGACGCTTCTATTATCTCTGCCCCACCAGGAAACTATATTCAGAGCTTTGTCAAGGCATCGTGGATGTGGCTATTTCCAGTGTCTTCTCCATGAACAGCGGCGGTGACTCTTCCTCTGCTTCCTCTTCTCCTTATTCTTCCTCACCGTCCTCCACGTTCACCACCAACTCCTGCTCCTCTCCCAAACTGAGAGGGCCTCTCCACGTGGGCCCTTTCACTCGACTGTAAGCACACAATTCCCCTCGTCTCCTCCGTACTAGAAGCTTCTTCCATGCTCTGTCCTCACTCCTAAACTCCACAGTACCTGATAAGTAGCACACTATAGCGAGCAGAGCCTTCACTCGTCCCTCGTCTGTCACGCCCGGATGCGAGTCTGTCTTTTTATGGAAATCACTGAACTGCAGAATTGATCTCTGTTCTTCTGATTATGCATATTATGAACGGGAAGATGGTTATGAACAGATCAACAAGCTTTCTGGGAGTTTCTGAATGAGGACAGACACCCTTCCATATCAGTTCCACCACCAGTTTCTCCCCAAGCAGATTAATGGAGGTCGGAAGGATGCAGAGACGCTCCGACTGAGACTGTAGTGCCTTACATTTCCAGCCATGCTCCCTTAAAAAGACTGCCAGTTAGCTTGCTCTGTTACTGTGACTTGTACTTGTTCAATAAGCCTTTGCACTGTTGCTCTATAAAGTCAATGCGGTCACGATCAGTCCACAAGAATTAGCATAAAACAGATTTGTTGATATTTGAGCACTTATGAATTTGTGTAATTTGTCTCATCAGACACAATTTGAATTTTGGAATTTTTTTTATTGCAGCTTGCCTGCAGCTTTCTGTACCCATTCATTTCAGTGAGGAATGCTAACAGTGATCAAGAAGCTACACAGATGGATGTGTTTATACGTACTTACACACTAACCCAATGTGTCTGATGAGCTAAACATTCAATATATCAAGGTTTGCCTTTAAAACCAACATTCCTCTTGGCTTGACCGTGTGGACACAACACGTTATTTACATTCAGGGCAGCTGGATTGCATAAGTAAACAGGGGAGACTGTGCTTGATCTGGCAGGTCTGAGTCTGTCCCAACAGACCTCTGACCTCTGTATGGCAGAGAGTAAATAGAAAAAGATATACGTTTCTGTTCTCAACAGATTCTTCTACAAAATAGTCCAGCTGAAGATGTTTTATTTGTCATTTGAAGAGAGCATGTTTGTGTGAAAGCATGTAGTAGTGTGCATCCTCATACAAGCCCCCATAGCACCTTCTGCCCCCCAGAGCTGCCCTAATGTCTGTTTTATTTCTGATGGATGAAAAGCTAGACTGTCTTGTGAAGTGTTGTCAGCAAGTGTGTGGATTATGTTTTTTGAACTGTTGAAATGAAAGTAGAGTAGATTGTACAAAGTGTTTTTATTATCTCCGCCAGGTTTGGTTGCGTTTGGTTGCGTGTGTGTATCCGTCCGCAGCTACACTCTTATGCTACTGGATCCATCGGATTAATATTTTTTGGCATTTTCATTTTGAAGTTTACATTTTACATCGCTGGTTTCCTTCCATCCGGAGAGGTACCGGAAGTAAACCAGTCACCATCACTGCGGTGGCGTCTCCCTAATATATGCGCACGTTTGAATGCACACTGTCCTAAGAAGTGTACAATTTTCTGCTTTTCCCTTTAATGTTACTTTTCTAAATATGTCTAGGAAATCAAGAAGAACCTGTGTCGTTACCAGCTGCTCCAACAGCAGTGGCAAACTGAACAAAGAAAAGACTGAATGTGAAACACACAAGCCTTTAATTCACGAAGAGTGGCCCTGTCTGAGACTGTACACAGATTCCCTGGGCCGGTAGAGGACCAACATGTTCACATGGTGAGCGATTTAGTGAAATAACCTTGGATACCTACGAAAAAATATTAATTATAACTTTTATTACTGTGATGATTAAATGTAGCTCTTAATTGATTATGCTTGCGAGCTAGTACAGTAGTATTACACAGTACATCACCTGAAATGGACAAGTGGTCCATTTTCTTCTCTATTTCTAGCTTCTATCGTAACAAACGTGTAAAATGTGAATACCGCTAAGTTTGCCATCCATATAAGGCACCTTCGTCAGTAACTGGGGGGCCACTGCCTAACGCCGTCAATCTACGACATGCCACCGCAGTAATGGCTACGCTGCCAGATGGCGGGAAACACACAAACCGTCGTTTTGTGTGTTTAGTTTGTCAACTCTAGTTACACCTCGATAATGTAACTAAGTCCACTAGTCTCATGCATGCACGCTGGATCATTGCACTCCCTGTCCCACACCCACGTGGCCGTGAACACACCTGGCGGAGACCTGCTCTCTAACGAGTGCACTCTTCTTGTAGTTTATTAAAATGATTTAAAGACCCCATGAAATTAAACCGAGTGGACACAATAGACATTTCTTTCTAAAATAACCAGAGAGCTGATGGAGAAACATGTGACCCTACTTCATACTTCTTACACTGGTCTCGTAGAACATGCTGTGTCTAATGTGTTACTCACCAAAGAACAGTCAGTGGACAGCGGCTGCAGGTCTTCATCTCGCCGCTGCTTCTTGCCGAGTTACAGCTGGTTTTTGGTCATGTCACTGCCGCTTTCTACATCGTTTTTGTATCAGAGTCGTATTTCATTAACTACAGATTTGTTTTGTTTCATGGGGTCCTTAAAGTATTTAATTTCTACTCTTTTCTTTTGACTGAATCTCTTTGTGAATAGATGAGACGTTAGAGTTGTAACTGTCCAAGCTGACTTGTGTCAGATCTGTTTTTACGTTACCGTTTGGACTGCTTGTTAGAAAGGACTCTTTAGTTTTTACGTAGACATGAAACTTTAAATTAGTGAAAGATCTGTGACGGCTGCACATTGGGTAGTTGATTCAACTGTTGTGTTTCCAGGGGCACATTTTAACCACAGCATAACTAGTTTATAACGTAATAATCGCCGCTGTTCCTCTCTTTTAACCTCGGTTCAAATATGTGAGGCTCTGCTTCCCGTGTTGTGAGTAACATAAGCGAAGGGACACCATCAGAGCATTTATTTAAGTTTTTAATCACTGTGTATTTGTGTTTACAAGATGACTCTGGGGAATGAAGGATGTGTAAGTGGCTGAAAGTCAGAAAGATGGAATAGTTACACAGCAGGTTACAGTGACAAATTCAGCCTTTGTTCTTTTAAAGAAACGGGGCTGTTATAAAGATTAATCCCAGTAACTCAGAACATGATGAATCCATTTCTGTGATGTATTACAGAGCCCTGCTGTAGCAGAAAATTATGTTTTTGGAAAGTTTTGGAAAAGATACTAATGTTAGCAGAAAATGGGTATTTATAGCATGATTGTGTTGGAAAATGAGTTACAAGTGTTGTTCAAAAACAAACTATCAGTATTTGTTTTTGTTTAATTTGTAGGGAAATGTCTTTCCATCAAAGGGAAGGGTGCCTTAGAGGGAATTGCATATTGATAACAAGAGGCAATGGACCTCCAGCATTTAAATGCACCTTCATTTGTTTGTCTGTATCGAAGTGAGTTTGCCTCATTCATCTTTAGACTTCTTTTAAATTAAATGATGTCATTTCCTCTTATTCAGAGTTTCTTTGCACATCTGACTCAGTCTACTGTGTTCTTATGTGTTTCATATTTGTCCTGGATTTCCTCATGTTTTACCAAAGATCAAAATTCATGCTGTTTTTTCAGTGTCAAATAATATTTTGTAGTTGTTATAATCTGGTTATTATCACATCAACTGGCCAACGTGATCCAGAAGCAAGTATCATATTCAGAGGGATGTCTGTGCTGTGTTTTTGTTAGGTGATGTTTTATCCAAAATCTTGCATGAACATTTGTCTTTATCAGAAACAATATTACTAGAATAAAAAAAAAATATTAATATTACCAAGCTTCTGTCATGTGTGCATTTCTGCTCTACGTGGTCCATTTGATTTCCTCCTGGTTCCAGCCTTTATGCTTTGCTCAGCTAAACACATCCCAGACCAACTGTACTGGACACAGAGATGAAGATCTTCTAATATGATGTAAACAAATGTATTTACGTTGTACTGTTTCTCTAATATATATAATTGTCAGTATGAAGCAACACTAAACAAGACGAAATAAGTCTTGTGTTTCTGGACCATGAATGCAGCTTGTGGGTAAGATACACACGGCCTCATGCAGCAACATGCTCTTAAATTTCTCTTCTGTTTTCTTTTATACCACGGTCTGGGTGAATACTCGATTGTGATTGGCTGCTGGGTGTCCATTAATCCCTGATGTAGGACACCTGCTAAGTGGTTCCAGTGAAACTGTCTGTTCCCTATTACAGCCCTGTAATAAATGTTCAGCTTTTGTTGGCAATATTTTAGTTGTTTGTTTGTTGACTTTATGTGTTTTGGGGAATTTCTTTGAGTTTGTGGGGATCATTTTCAGTGGTTAAGTTAAAGTATTTATATAGCAAATTTCACAAATCTCTCACATAAATACAATTTATTTAACTAGATCTTTTTTTATATTGTTTAAAACACGTGCAGTCATGGTCAGATTTGGGGGGCCCGAGAGCAAATGTTTACTGCAGGGCCCCAACTGATGACCTCCACCTCCTGACCTCTGCATGTTTGCGTACCTGCTGCCTCCAGGGTCCCATCAAGCACAGAGCAGACCTCACATGGTAGCTTCATTATTTGCTCTCATACTAAGAAACCAACCTGTACTCCTGGACGAACACATCTGGCTCCAGATTTCAGTTTGATTAAACACAACTTTATTTAGGAATATGCACCAAAGAAGCCAATCTAAACTAAGATAATACAGATAATTAAACTATTCTGGCACAGGGGCTCTCTAAAAACAATGAGGGCCACAGCATTAGGTGTTAATGCAGGGCCCACTGGAGCTATTGACTGATTTCTGAACGCTTTAAATCTCCCATTAGCATTGGCAACAGTGTTACTATGATCGACTTATTTTGTTTATAATGAAAGAATAAAGATGAATATCTCACTCCTACATTCATTTGTAGAGTGCCAAGCTCACAGTTTTGATGGATGACATGTATTTTCTCATTCTATATGCAAATAAATATGAGCATTTTTTGGAAGTCACAGCTGATTACGGTTTTGATCTTTTTTTAAATTTCAGCTACACAATGTATATTGTCAAAAATATTATACTGTGATATATTGAGCACATTATATTGTTAAACCCCCAGTGCATATGTATCATTATGACTGTATCTGTAGTTTTCTTCTGTAAAATGTAAAAAGTAATATAGCTTACTTTGCTTTATTTATTAGATACTGTGTGCTCAGTAAAATATAAATCTGCTTTCACTCTTTAACTGTCACAACTCTTAGTTTGTATTCATCTGGTTTTAGTTTTCATGCCATTTGGATTTATGTATTTGCACATAAAACACATCAGCAGAATCACAAATAAGAGAAAAGAAGCTAATTGTGCTGGTGAAATAAATAAATAAAAAACCTAGAGCCTTATAAAAGATAATCACACCTCCATATGCATTATAAGCGGATACAAAAATCATGTTATCCACTAAAATTAATCCCTGACCCCTGGCATTCTGTTTGCCCATTTTGTTTGCCTAACTCCGGGGTTTGAACTTGCATTGTGGGGGGTGTATATAGGTGTGTCTTCTTTCCAAAGAAAAACCTCCTATTACAGTGAAAAACACAGAGTCAAATAAGATAAGATACTCCTGTATTTGTCAGCTGTCGGGGAAAATATAAATTTGGCACAGCAGCACAGGGGACAGGTAGTGCAAGAGTAGAGAAATAATAAAATACAATAAAATATAATAAAATAAAAATACAAAAGGTATATATAAAAGACACTATGTACAATAAAGTGGAATATGGTCCAGATGTATAACTGTACGGATCAAATTAACCTGCACTTGTTATTTACACTCACAAACAAGCAAATAATCAGTTCAAAATACAATTTAATTACGGCTTTTTAGAGCACTGAGAAAGAAGAAATAGAAGATAATTCGATAAACATTTATATTTTCTACTGTGGCATTTTGACAATTATTATAGTAACATCATGCAGGAAAACTAGACAATGAACAGACTATTGGTTAATGCAAAAACATAAATTAATAATAAATTATGAAATGATAATAATTTAAAGCATTTTCTCGTTGCAAGACACAAGACAGAGATTGCAGGTGGAGTGGGGCTGTTCAAGTGGCTAATAGAGGTTGTAGGTGGAGGTTTGGGATGGTGTTGTCATGAACCAGCTGAAAGTCCAGACAGAACAAGGGAGACCACACAAATAAGTTTTAAAGTAACACAAAGACATACCAAAATACAAAGAAAGATGTAAATCAGTGCTATAAGTAGTGACTGATACATGAAATACAACCAGGTATGACTGATCAGCTATCAGTCTTTTGGATGCGCCTTCCCATCTGGGGCTCAGGCACACTTGACACTGGCTTGCTGGCTACCTCGTGGGCCTTATGGTCGGGAGGCTACATGTTCATCCCAGTCCCCTCCTTTGGTGAGCGAGTGCTTTTGTGTGACTCACCAGTAGATGAATACCATTTGGGCTACATGCTTTGGTCAGCTTAGCGACCTGAGTGGCCACTTTACATCTCGGTGGGCCTTTATCTGCTCTATGTGGGTCAATCTTTCCTTTGGCAGACTTACGTGAGCAGTCCTTTTGCATCTCAGACGTAGTGATTGAGTCTGATTGGTATGTTCACATGTGTAAATAGTTTGTTTGGGGCTGAACATATGGTTATGTTGTGACCCTGGTTATCCGAGTTATAGGTAATAGTGATCTATATGGAATTTGCAATGAGAGAGAAAACAGGGACAATGATGTAAGTGGATGATCTATTCAGGGATACATATATATATATACATGGACCTGCTGCACAAACTAGGACCCTGTACATACAGTAAAATATACAGTACAACACAACACTATTTTGCAACTTCTTTTCACCTCTAAACACACTGGGCTTTATCAGCTCTGTAATCCAACTGGGTCCAACTTGAGACAGAGGTATACAGAGATGATTCAGCTGAGTTTTCTGTTTATTTAGAGGTGATAAGAAGTTGCCAAATAGTGTTGTGTTGTAATGTATAAATAGGGATGAACATGGTCCTAGTCTCTATCTCAAATTGGACTGGGTTTACACCAGTCATGTCTCTCACGGAAGAAACAATGTTTCTTCTGGTTGCCGTTTGTTCTTTAATGTCAGCCCCTGTACTAACAGGGCCCATCGCAGACTCCTCGTATGTTGCTGCTGTGTACGAGCACAAGGTAATCGTCCCTCCGGTCTCTAATGTGTCCCGGGCCGAAGCCTTGCAGCACATTCAGAAGAACCTGGATATCTACGAACAGCAGGCTGCAGAGGCCGCAAAGCAGGTATGTCTGAACAGGAGAGAGTTATAAATGTTTAGTTTTTCAGTCAAAAAGAAGTCAAAGAATGTCGTAGAGTAATAAAGCGTGTGTCCTGTCTCATCTTTCCTCGGTCAGGGTGCCCAGATCCTGGTGTTTCCAGAATATGGTCTGAGTGGTTTCTACTTCGACCGTTCGTCCGTCTCTAGCTACCTAGAAACCATTCCTGACCCTCAGCAGGAGAACTGGAACCCCTGCTTGGAGCCAGGCAAATACAGCAACACCGAGGTGCACACTCGTACTTTTAGAGTTGATGTTGTTACTGAACAGGCATTCTGACAATATGCACTGACATGGAGACACCACCGGGGAGCCAAGAGCCTTCAATAATGCAACACTAGTCTGTGAATATAAATCACATTTGAGTGTGGTTGTGTTTCACAGGTTCTCCAGCGGTTGAGCTGTATGGCCCGCAGCAACAACCTCTACCTGGTGGCCAACATGGGTGACATGCAGCCCTGTCCCCTGAAGACCGATCCCACCTCCTCCTGTCCTCCCGATGGACGCTGGAAGTTCAACACCAACGTGGTTTTCAAGTGAAGTGTAGACTTTAAAATAGAAGTAGTTTAGCTGAAGTCAAGCAAAATGCATCAATACATAATTTCCTAGTCTATGTGAACTGATCGCAGCATCTTCTTTCATACAGGTCAGACGGCCAGCTGCTGGCGCGCTACCATAAATACAACCTCTACAAGGAGCCGTACTTTGACGTTCCACCTCAACCTGAGATCATAACGTTTGATACACCTTTTGCTGGAAAGTTTGGCACAATGATCTGCTTTGACATGTTCTTCCACAAGCCCACAGGCATCCTGCTGGACAAGGTAGAACAACCTCTGTACCCAACTCTACATTTCTGTGTTTGTTCTTCTCTTTTCCAAACATCCACCTCTCTTTGGACCCCCTTCAGGGTGTGCGTCAGCTGGTCTACCCCACAGCCTGGGTAAATTTCCCCCCTGTACTGGACTCAGTCCAGTTCCACCGGGGATTCAGCTTGGGTGCCAATGTCACCGTCCTTTCGTCCAACCTTCGTTTTGACAAAGAACACATAGGAGGAAGTGGTATCTACACCCCTTTTCCTTCCACCTACCACCACGCCACGGAAGGAGACCCAGAGGAGGGCAAGCTCGTGGTGGCCAGGGTGCCAGTCTTAGACCCAATGTGGAGGGGGGAGAGCACGGCCACAGAGGAGTCCACATCACCTACAGCTGCAACTTCTGGAGCCTGTCAGCATACTCCCGACCCTAATCCTGAAATTGCTTCTTCAGTCCCTCCCTCCTCCGACACCTTCATCGTATCCTTGATTGACGACCCTTATACATTTGTCCTCTTGAACAAGACAGAGGACGACTTGAAGGTCTGCAATGGCACCTTTTGCTGTCACCTGCAGTACAAGAGGTCACCACAAGCAGGCAGCGAAGAGCTCTATGCATTGGCAGCATTTTCTGGAACACATACTATTGTCAGAACCTTAAACCTACAGGTATGAATCACAGGAAGTGTGGATTGTTTAAAATAACTTTTTTTAAATTGCTCATGCTCACATTTATCACATCTCTGTTGCAGGTGTGCGCTCTGGTCCGCTGTGCAGGATCTGACTTCACTTCCTGTGGACAGCCAGTGGTAAAGGCTGAGTCTAAGATCGACTTCACATTGGAGGGGAAGTTTGCATCTAAACGTGTGTACCCGTCAGTTATGACCAGCAAGAACGTCATGGAGGAGCCACAGAATCTGGAAATGGCTGCAGATGGCAGAGTGACCATGAAACACTCAAACATGAGCGGTGGGCTGATCAGTGCCAGCCTGTTGGGACGACCCTATCAGATGGACGAGGAATGCACTGGGGAATAGTTGTGTGTGTGTGTGTGTGTGTGTGTGTGAGAGAGATTTAGCTGTTACACATGTGTATGCTGTCACACAAAACTGCAATAAATCAAAAAGCAAATGTCTTTGTTCATTCAATATTTAATCTGTATAAACATTGGCAGCGTTCATCCTCCAGCCTGAAAGCTTCAACGTCCTGAAAGATAAATTACAGATGTGCATTTATTGTTTCATAAGACAACATATAAATGCACATCTGTAATTTACCCACACTTGGGTTCGTGAGGCTTTCTTGATTTTAAGGGGGTGTAAGACAAGTGTATAAATATACACACACTAGGCCTGTATCTCAGGATTTTGTTCATTTCTGGGAAGAACATTTTTTTTTTTAAGTCTAGATTATTATTTAAGATGAAAACTTTGAACACAAGCTTTATTCTCAGAGCCTTCACTCTCGGATAAACAACCTCCTCATCCTGCATTAGAAACATTAAAGAAAAGAGATAATAGATCAATGGCCAAGCGCCAAAGAGAATAAAACACTGAATTTATCCAAAAAAAGACGCCTATAAGTATGTAGGATTGTTAAAAAATGTTTAAAAATACATAATACAGACAGAGAATTGTATATAAAGTCACTAAAACTCATCTCTCAATATTCAGAAGAAATAATCTGTTTAAAATGAATCTAAATCTCTCTTTTTATACAAACTTCCTCCAGTTATTGTGTTCATTTGGGTTGTCAGCTGTTCTCCAATATCCATAACAGAAACCACAGTGAGGGGGAGTCAGTTCACACAACCGCTGCTTAAGTGTCATATATTCAAACTGTTCAATGGACCCAAATAATGAACTCAGTGACTGAGAGAAGTTTGTGTAAAACGAGTGATTTGGATTCATTCTGAGAACTTTTTATTCAGTTTTCTGTCTGTATTCTGTATTTTTAACACTCATGAAGCTTTGGCGACCCCTAATATGCTTTCACTGTCTCCGTGTTGGTCCTTGCTCCTCTCCTCCAGGTGGAGTCGCTGTAGCAGCAACACACTGAACCGGTTTGTGGAGGTTCTGAATGGGAACCAGAACCTGAAGAAGCAGCGGTACCATATAAAGAGGTGGTTGTGGACCGTGTGTGTTGTGGCAGCAGTTTGTTGAACAGTAGAAAGAGTGTAAAAAGACTGGGTCCCGCTGTATTACTCAGGCTGCACTACAGCGTCTATTCACAGGCGCGATCCCACTACTGAGCGGCACGGGGGCTTTGACCTGCTCCGTTTCCGACCTGGGCCGGTGCACCCCTCCTTAGACGACCTGGTGGTCCCGGGCTCCCCCAGGAGCACCATATCGATACCGAACTTAGTGCGGACACCCGATCGGCATAGTCCGCTGCAGCTCAGAGCTCCTGAGCTCAATCGATCCGCCAGCCTCAGCCTCCCGGTAGCTTGGATTACAGGCGCGCGCCACCGCACCCGGCGAGGATCTCACGAGCTCATCGTGGTTTTGGGATTTGCGCTAGTGACGTCATCAGTGACGAAGACGTAAACAAACGTACAAACAATATGAATGACTTTATATTTGGTGTTGTCTGCTGCAACACTAAAGCACACAGTTTGTAATACATATAAAGTATTGATCTTTATTGAAATAAGGTTTTATCAGTGAGGGAAAATCTTCCACATCAGTGGAATCTCACAGTTCACAGGTTTGATGATTAACATTTATTTGCTCCTTCTATATGCAAATAAAAATGAGCAGCTGATTCAGGTATTATTGGGATTCATTAGCTCAGCTCCACAAAATATATTGTCAAAAGTATTATACTGTAATATACTGAGCCACATTATATTTTTAAACCCCAGGTGAATATGTAACATTTTGACTGCATCTGACCTGTAGTTTTATTCGGTAAAACGATTGATTGAAAAATGTTTTGTGAGAAGATCTGTCCATTTTTAATATAAGAGTACAATGTACAAAGGTATCACTGATGTAAACCCACTTTAGATTTACTGCTCCAGATCCTGTCTCCGCTGCTGTGTTTTGAATGTTGTATATATATATATACTGTATATTTTACCGAACACACAGTTTCTAATAACAAAAAAAAAGGATTGATCTTTACTGAAATAAGGTTTTAGGAGAACCGTGCAAAAATTGATCAGCCTTCGTCACTGATGACGTCACTTGCGTAAATCCCAAAACCCCGATGAGCTCGTGAGATGCTCGCCGGGTGCGGTGGCGCGCGCCTGTAATCCAAGCTACCGGGAGGCTGAGGCTGGCGGATCGATTGAGCTCAGGAGCTCTGAACTGCAGCGGACTATGCCGATCGGGTGTCCGCACTAAGTTCGGTATCGATATGGTGCTCCTGGGGGAGCCCGGGACCACCAGGTCGTCTAAGGAGGGGTGCACCGGCCCAGGTCGGAAACGGAGCAGGTCAAAGCCCCCGTGCCGCTCAGTAGTGGGATCGCGCCTGTGAATAGACGCTGTAGTGCAGCCTGAGTAATACAGCGGGACCCAGTCTTTTTACACTCTTTCTACTGTTCAACAAACTGCTGCCACAACACACACGGTCCACAACCACCTCTTTATATGGTACCGCTGCTTCTTCAGGTTCTGGTTCCCATTCAGAACCTCCACAAACCGGTTCAGTGTGTTGCTGCTACAGCGACTCCACCTGGAGGAGAGGAGCAAGGACCAACACGGAGACAGTGAAAGCATATTAGGGGTCGCCAAAGCTTCATGAGTGTTAAAAATACAGGATACAGACAGAAAACTGAATAAAAAGTTCTCAGAATGAATCCAAATCACTCGTTTTACACAAACTTCTCTCAGTCACTGAGTTCATTATTTGGGTCCATTGAACAGTTTGAATATATGACACTTAAGCAGCGGTTGTGTGAACTGACTCCCCCTCACTGTGGTTTCTGTTATGGATATTGGAGAACAGCTGACAACCCAAATGAACACAATAACTGGAGGAAGTTTGTATAAAAAGAGAGATTTAGATTCATTTTAAACAGATTATTTCTTCTGAATATTGAGATATTTTTGAACACTTTTTAACAATCCTACATACTTATAGGCGTCTTTTTTTGGATAAATTCAGTGTTTTGTTCTCTTTGGCGCTTGGCCATTGATCTATTATCTCTTTTCTTTAATGTTTCTAATGCAGGATGAGGAGGTTGTTTATCCGAGAGTGAAGGCTCTGAGAATAAAGCTTGTGTTCAAAGTTTTCATCTTAAATAATAATCTAGACTTAAAAAAAAAAATGTTCTTCCCAGAAATGAACAAAATCCTGAGATACAGGCCTAGTGTGTGTATATTTATACACTTGTCTTACACCCCCTTAAAATCAAGAAAGCCTCACGAACCCAAGTGTGGGTAAATTACAGATGTGCATTTATATGTTGTCTTATGAAACAATAAATGCACATCTGTAAATTTATCTTTCAGGACGTTGAAGCTTTCAGGCTGGAGGATGAACGCTGCCAATGTTTATACAGATTAAATAATGAATGAACAAAGACATTTGCTTTTTGATTTATTGCAGTTTTGTGTGACAGCATACACATGTGTAACAGCTAAATCTCTCTCTCTCACACACACACACACACACACACACACACACACAACTATTCCCCAGTGCATTCCTCGTCCATCTGATAGGGTCGTCCCAACAGGCTGGCACTGATCAGCCCACCGCTCATGTTTGAGTGTTTCATGGTCACTCTGCCATCTGCAGCCATTTCCAGATTCTGTGGCTCCTCCATGACGTTCTTGCTGGCCATAACTGACGGGTACACACGTTTAGATGCAAACTTCCCCTCCAATGTGAAGTCGATCTTAGACTCAGCCTTTACCACTGGCTGTCCACAGGAAGTGAAGTCAGATCCTGCACAGCGGACCAGAGCGCACACCTGCAACAGAGATGTGATAAATGTGAGCATGAGCAATTTAAAAAAAGTTATTTTAAACAATCCACACTTCCTGTGATTCATACCTGTAGGTTTAAGGTTCTGACAATAGTATGTGTTCCAGAAAATGCTGCCAATGCATAGAGCTCTTCGCTGCCTGCTTGTGGTGACCTCTTGTACTGCAGGTGACAGCAAAAGGTGCCATTGCAGACCTTCAAGTCGTCCTCTGTCTTGTTCAAGAGGACAAATGTATAAGGGTCTTCAATCAAGGATACGATGAAGGTGTCGGAGGAGGGAGGGACTGAAGAAGCAATTTCAGGATTAGGGTCGGGAGTATGCTGACAGGCTCCAGAAGTTGCAGCTGTAGGTGATGTGGACTCCTCTGTGGCCGTGCTCTCCCCCCTCCACATTGGGTCTAAGACTGGCACCCTGGCCACCACGAGCTTGCCCTCCTCTGGGTCTCCTTCCGTGGCGTGGTGGTAGGTGGAAGAAAAAGGGGTGTAGATACCACTTCCTCCTATGTGTTCTTTGTCAAAACGAAGGTTGGACGAAAGGACGGTGACATTGGCACCCAAGCTGAATCCCCGGTGGAACTGGACTGAGTCCAGTACAGGGGGGAAATTTACCCAGGCTGTGGGGTAGACCAGCTGACGCACACCCTAAAGGGGGTCCAAAGAGAGGTGGATGTTTGCATAAGAGAAGAACAAACACAGAAATGTAGAGTTGGGTACAGAGGTTGTTCTACCTTGTCCAGCAGGATGCCTGTGGGCTTGTGGAACAACATGTCAAAGCAGATCATTGTGCCAAACTTTCCAGCAAAAGGTGTATCAAACGTTATGATCTCAGGTTGAGGTGGAACGTCAAAGTACGGCTCCATGTAGAGGTTGTATTTATGGTAGCGCGCCAGCAGCTGGCCGTCTGACCTGTATGAAAGAAGATGCTGCGATCAGTTCACATAGACTAGGAAATTATGTATTGATGCATTTTGCTTGACTTCAGCTAAACTACTTCTATTTTAAAGTCTACACTTCACTTGAAAACCACGTTGGTGTTGAACTTCCAGCGTCCATCGGGAGGACAGGAGGAGGTGGGATCGGTCTTCAGGGGACAGGGCTGCATGTCACCCATGTTGGCCACCAGGTAGAGGTTGTTGCTGCGGGCCATACAGCTCAACCGCTGGAGAACCTGTGAAACACAACCACACTCAAATGTGATTTATATTCACAGACTAGTGTTGCATTATTGAAGGCTCTTGGCACCCTGGTGGTGTCTCCATGTCAGTGCATATTGTCAGAATGCCTGTTCAGTAACAACATCAACTCTAAAAGTACGAGTGTGCACCTCGGTGTTGCTGTATTTGCCTGGCTCCAAGCAGGGGTTCCAGTTCTCCTGCTGAGGGTCAGGAATGGTTTCTAGGTAGCTAGAGACGGACGAACGGTCGAGGTAGAAACCACTCAGACCATATTCTGGAAACACCAGGATCTGGGCACCCTGACCGAGGAAAGATGAGACAGGACACACGCTTTATTACTCTACGACATTCTTTGACTTCTTTTTGACTGAAAAACTAAACATTTATAACTCTCTCCTGTTCAGACATACCTGCTTTGCGGCCTCTGCAGCCTGCTGTTCGTAGATATCCAGGTTCTTCTGAATGTGCTGCAAGGCTTCGGCCCGGGACGCATTAGAGACCCGATGGACGATTACCTTGTGCTCGTACACAGCAGCAACATACGAGGAGTCTGCGATGGGCCCTGTTAGTACAGGGGCTGACATTAAAGAACAAACGGCAACCAGAAGAAACATTGTTTCTTCCGTGAGAGACATGACTGGTGTAAACCCAGTCCAATTTGAGATAGAGACTAGGACCATGTTCATCCCTATTTATACATTACAACACAACACTATTTGGCATCTTCTTATCACCTCTAAATAAACAGAAAACTCAGCTGAATCATCTCTGTGTACCTCTGTCTCAAGTTGGACCCAGTTGGATTACAGAGCTGATTTAGCCCAGTGTTTTTAGAGGTGAAAAGAAGTTGTACTGTATATTTTACCGTATGTACAGGGTCCTAGTTTGTGCACCAGGTCCATGTATACATCTATGTATCCCTGAATAGATCATCCAATTACATCATTGTCCCTGTTTTCTCTCTCATTGCAAATTCCATATAGATAGTCTCTTCACTCAGATAACCAAGGTCACAACGTAACCAGATGTTCAGCCCCAAACAAACTATTTACACATGTGAACATACCAACCAGACTCAATCACTACGGCAACAGGGCTGCTCACGTAAGTCCACCATTAAAATTCAAAACACACAGCAGACAACACCAAATATAAAGTCATTCATATTGTTTGTACGTTTGTTTACGTCTTCGTCACTGATGACGTCACTTGCGTAAATCCCAAAACCCCGATGAGCTCGTGAGATCGTCGCCGGGTGCGGTGGCGCGCGCCTGTAATCCAAGCTACCGGGAGGCTGAGGCTGGCGGATCGATTGAGCTCAGGAGCTCTGAACTGCAGCGGACTATGCCGATCGGGTGTCCGCACTAAGTTCGGTATCGATATGGTGCTCCTGGGGGAGCCCGGGACCACCAGGTCGTCTAAGGAGGGGTGCACCGGCCCAGGTCGGAAACGGAGCAGGTCAAAGCCCCCGTGCCGCTCAGTAGTGGGATCGCGCCTGTGAATAGACGCTGTAGTGCAGCCTGAGTAATACAGCGGGACCCAGTCTTTTTACACTCTTTCTACTGTTCAACAAACTGCTGCCACAACACACACGGTCCACAACCACCTCTTTATATGGTACCGCTGCTTCTTCAGGTTCTGGTTCCCATTCAGAACCTCCACAAACCGGTTCAGTGTGTTGCTGCTACAGCGACTCCACCTGGAGGAGAGGAGCAAGGACCAACACGGAGACAGTGAAAGCATATTAGGGGTCGCCAAAGCTTCATGAGTGTTAAAAATACAGGATACAGACAGAAAACTGAATAAAAAGTTCTCAGAATGAATCCAAATCACTCGTTTTACACAAACTTCTCTCAGTCACTGAGTTCATTATTTGGGTCCATTGAACAGTTTGAATATATGACACTTAAGCAGCGGTTGTGTGAACTGACTCCCCCTCACTGTGGTTTCTGTTATGGATATTGGAGAACAGCTGACAACCCAAATGAACACAATAACTGGAGGAAGTTTGTATAAAAAGAGAGATTTAGATTCATTTTTTGGACAAATTCAGTGTTTTATTCTCTTTGGCGCTTGGCCATTGATCTATTATCTCTTTTCTTTAATGTTTCTAATGCAGGATGAGGAGGTTGTTTATCCGAGAGTGAAGGCTCTGAGAATAAAGCTTGTGTTCAAAGTTTTCATCTTAAATAATAATCGAGACATAACAAAAACCTGAGATATAGGCCACACTTTTTAACAATCCTACATACTTATAGCCTTTTAATCAAAGTTTGCAAATCTCTTGTGCTACAGGGAAAGAAAATCAAATTCATAGGTTAACATTAAGAAAAAAAGGAAATTATAATATAAACAGTAATATATATATATATACATGTATAAACACATACACAAAAACACCCAGGAAATAATTATGCAGTGTATCCTTTTGAATATATATATATATATATTTAAATCATATATATATATATTAAAAAATCATTATATGTAAATATTTTATTTATTTATTTATTTTTAGCTCTTATTTTGACCCTATTTACCACCTTTGCCTCGTTCCCGCCCCCACACTCAATGTGATTGGTCAACGCAGCCGTATGCCCCGCTCTCATTGGCCCGAGCAGCTGTCACTCAACCGGTTGCCGGGGTCGTCTCAGTCCAACTGACAGTTGAGCGTCAGGTCATTCTCTGAGCGTGTGGCCACAATGGCGGGACGACTTCTTGTTCTTCTCCGAGCTTGTACAACAACAACAACAACAACAACAACACTGCGGCTGAGGAGCAATGCGGTGGTCCGACCGTTAGTCCGAGCCATGGCAACAGCCAAAGGTAAAGGGTTTACAACCGACGAGAGTCAGACGTTCAGTCCGTAAAACAGGCCCCGCAGACGGCGGTAGAGACGCGACTGTCCTGGCTCTTTAATATAGGAGTTAAGTTGAAGGAGCTTCAGTATTAAAGTGATTGTTTTTATTGCGCACTTTGTTGCTTTATCAGACTCGTATTGACACCAGCCAGCTACCACATAATATTTTTTACTATACAGAGACGATAAATAATAATAATCACTAAAAGTGTGTAGTTTTTACTCCCAGTGATTTGTTTTGTGTTATAGGAGTTTTTTGGTTTTTTTTTTATGTGACTCTGTTTCTCCTCAATGTGACTGCAACGTGTGGATCAAATAATGAAGGTCATTTGGACTTTAACTGGTGGAAAGGCCTTTGATAGACCCACCTCCTCCTCCTCCTCCTGGGTTGGTGTGGTGCCAGTATCCTGATAGGGGGTAGGGGCAGGTCCAGTGTGGGTGGCGTCCAGTGCCGACGTGCAGTTTCACTAGACAGCCCTGTGCCTATTTACTCCTCTTTCTCTAGGACATTACATACATAAATACACATTAAAACTACCTGTATAATCGTTATATTATCATGCAAAGTGTCCTGCACTTTGTTCTGATTGCAATTTGAAGATGCGTCATGGAAAATCTCAATAAATAAACAACTTTTTTCTCCTGCTTAAGTGACATATTTTATGCATATTTTATATTATATTCAAAACTGTTTAATTAACCCAAACAGTGAACTCAGTAACTGCAAGAAGTTTGTGTAAAATGAATGGTTAGGATGATTTTTGAGCAGATTATTTCCTGTTTAGGGAACTTTTTATACAATTATCTGTATGTATTATGTATTTTTTATATATTTTTAACAATCATACAGATTTATAGGCTTCTTTTTATGACAAATTCAGCGTTTTTTGTGCCCCTGACACTTGGCAATTGTTCTATTAGACAATTTACTGTATTTTTTCTTCACAGAAGTGAACCAAATGCTGAGATATTGGTCTACTGTGTATATTTTGTAATTTGTAATTAAAATCAAGTTAGGATTTTAGCCTCGCCTCTAACTACTCACTTCACCATTAAATATAATGACTAGAATCCTTCATAAATGTTATTTTTTGTATTATTGTGTGACTGTTATTTCCAATTGAGACATAAAATATCGAGAAACTCATAATATGTTAGTTAAAATACACGTTGTAGTTGCGTCCCCAGTAACTTCTCTCACTATATTGTCTGTATTTTAGATTTTAAGTATGACCGAGAAGTGTCGCTGCTATTGGCATTAATGTCATGTGGCAACATTTAACATATTTGAAGCTAAAAACTCTTAATTTGAGTCCTGTTACCACTTTGAACATTTATTTTTATTCATCATTTTGCCTTTCTACCATATTTATCAGGAATACCAACAGATGAAGAACAGGCCACTGGACTGGAGCGACGCGCCCTGCAGGCCCTGAAGCACGGAAAGGTCGGCTATTACACACACGCATACAGTCCTTAAACCCTACATGTGCTAATTTTCTTGGCATTGACATTACAGGATCCTTACAGTATGCTGAAGCCCAAAGAGTATGCCGGCACCAAGGAGGAACCTCACATTGTGCCATGCATTGGAACCAAGAGGCTGGTGGGCTGTCTTTGTAAGTGATGTACTATTAAAGGCAAAATCCAGAGTTAATATAGTTCAGTATTTTTCATTTTGGTTTTTAATTTTTGTTCGCAATTTAGTTTAGTTTCAGTTTCAGAGTGGGTTTGTTATCTTCTGTTTAGTTTTTGTTGTTTAAAAATGTTTAGTTTTACTCTAGTTTTTATTATTTTCAGTGTTATTGTAGGTTGTTTTCTTTAAATTATAATATAATGATATAATTTGAGGTTCAGAATAGTTATTACAGTACAAACATGTTGACTCACAGTCATGTAGACAACCCAGTCTCAATTAACATATGCACCAATGTCTCCTTATGATTGACAAATTTGACCAAATTGACTAAAACTAAAGACATTTCCGGTGTATTTCTATTTTTATTTTTAGTTAACTACAATAACCTTGCTGTGTATGACTGTGTACATTACAAACCAGGTGAATTACATTACAATCCTGTGCAGGTGAGGAAGACAACACTGCTATTGTGTGGTTCTGGCTTCATGAGGGAGATGCCCAGCGCTGTCCTTCCTGTGGTTCCCACTATAAGCTGGTCCACCATGAGCTGCCCCATTGAAACAAAACTTAACACAAGCTCTGGACATCCATATTTGCCTCCTTCGTGGCCATATACTCCAATGTGTACATTATCATTTAACATGTACAGTTTATCATTAAAATGTAAACCTGAACTGTCTTCTGAAATCTGTTGTCTGAAATTTGGGAACACAGATGAACATCCATCAGACTGCGACAAAGGGTGAGTTAAATTATTAAAGCGTAACTTTTAGTGGCGCTACACTCATTGATATGTCATACAATGAAACACAGTCACAGTTTCAGTGATCATGTTTTGATGCCACAGTAGAGCAAAATTGTGACCTGACCTATAAGCTGGATCACTTGAAGAGGGCCATCTTACCGTAATTCAACATCTAAAAAAAGGGAATATGATCACATAAAACCACCAAACATCCAATAATTGAGAATTAAAGAGACAGTAATAAAAAATGCCTTAAACAACAGGAGAGTATTTTATCCCCAAAATAACTCGCATTTATTTCAGTGGCTGTACTTTGTTTTTATTTGTGGATTGTTTAAGGCTTACAGCCAAGAAAAAATCCACTCAGGATCTAAAGTAAATGATTCACACTGCTCTCAATCAAATGTTACAACAGAACCGATGTCAAACATAAAGAGAGTTAGTTTACATTGTCTGCGTTCAAACATTTAACACACGGAGGTTGGACACATCATCATTAACTCCTGTAAAATACAGCCATGCAGCAACTACTACCACAGTGGAGCTTAACCCTGTCAGAGGTGTTGGTTTAAATCTGGTCATTTTAAGGGCCACAGTGTTTGGATTATATCTGGTAATAAGAATTTCCAACAGTATAGACTGAACAGAAACATCTATCACATTTTAAGCTTCAGATAGGTGGCGCTACTGCGTTGTATTGCACTTTACAGGTGTTTATGTTGCTGTATGCATGCCCTGTGTTACCAGTAGTTTGCTTCATCATACTTGTCATATCCAAACATGAATAAAAGCTTATCTACAAGAGCAATATCAAATGTGAATAGACTTGTAATAGGGCGTTAAATGCTATGATAGCATGAAAAAAAGCTGAGAAATCAAAGTCAAGATCAATGTGAAAGTCTAGACGTCCAACTCACAGTCTTTTATCTCACCCAGCATTCAATTCTTACAGCAGGCTTCTAAACGTTTGGGAATGTGGTTGCCACCAACAGTTCGGACATGTAGTTCGAGGCATTTCTGTGTACTATCAGGCGAGATTAAAGCCTTGATTGTGATCTATAGCCTGAAGAAGCTTCTCGCGGAGTGTTTCTAGAGTCGTGTACTTGGGCAGATCCAGCAGGTTGAAGCAGGTGTGGGCCACAGGTAAGTAATGCTCCCCTCCACTGGTGGGCTGGATCACCAGCTTCAGGCTTTTCATGCCCAAGATGGGTATGCGGTCACTTCCTGTGAGGAACACTAGAGACAAGAGACGTTGTTTTACTCTTCAATTCACCATTCCAAAACCACATTATTTAAATAATTCATGCATGGTGGGCAGCACTTACACAAAAACTGTTTTTTCTTCTCTAAAGGAAGATTGTGGAACACCTCCCAGAAGAGCCTGATGGTGGGATGGTCTGTCCAGTACTCCCCTTTGTATTCAGTACTCTGCAGGGTGGAGACAGAAGTTATTTGCACAGAATTACTCAGCAGACTTTGACAAGTTATGTGTATAAATTTAATATATTTCCATCAACTGCTATTTGATACTAGACCTTTTGGAGCTCCGTCCAGTCATAGTTAGTGTTGCCAATGACCATGGCTTGCAGTTCATTTGGCTGGAACAGCTCAAGGACTTTTCCACCGCACACCTTGTGGAAGCCTGCATAAAAGCACTCAAACAGCGGAGCCACAGATGTGTTGAAAACGTAGTCTACGTATGCACTGACAAAGTCCTGCCTAGAGAAAGAGAAAAGGGATTATGAAAGTGAAGAGATGTTGAATGTAAAACACACTTCTGAAACTGAAAGAGTTAAGCAAACAATAAAGGAGCTGAGTTACAACTATTTACTGGTTAAAAGAACACTTGAGCAGAGAAACTTTACTTAACACTGATTCTTAAGGAACGTTTGACATGTAGGGAAATGTGGAGTTTCTACACTTTGGTATTTTCAGTGATGGAGAAGAGTGTGTTGGCAGGATGCATTAATGCCTCGTCACCAAATGTGTTTGACCAAGTCAAGCAACCGGCCGCTCCCATAAACCCGTACGTGTTTGTCTTAATGAGTGCAGGCCTCTGTTCCTCTGGGCATACTGTACATTGAGTGAAAGAGGAGGGGCTGCTCACTGATGTGGCATTTGGGAAATGCATTGCGACTAATGAAATCCGTAAACGAGAAGCAAGAAACAAGAATTGTGTTTTAATTAATTTTTTATTGCTCACAGAGTCAGATAACGGAAACCGTATTCATTGATTGCTATTCACTGGATGACGCAGCACAAACAGGGAAGCCTTGATTTCTGATGTTGGGTCCACTTATACCCACCTACAGCTGGTTTTAACTGGTGAGCTTTAGAGGTTGGATTTTCTTTACTTTTGGATAGAACTGTTTCCCCTTGTTTCCAGTCTTTCTGCTAAACTAAACTAACTGGCTGCTGCCCCCCGCTACATATTTACTGTACAGACATGAGAGGAAGAAAGAAATTTGTACCTGTTTGATTTATTGACATTGATGTCTTCGCCATTAGGTACTAGCTCCAAGACCTCTGTGGCACCATAGTTTTCCTCTGTGATCTGAAAAAAAACAAATAAAAATACATACATATATCACAGCTATTTATTTTACAGTGTATATACACAGAAACTGTTGTTTGACAATCATCTTACTGTGAAGTTCAAGCAGAAGGTTTCCTCAAGGTCATCCTCTGCGTAGTCCAGTAACAGCTGCAGACTCCTGGTTTACGACAGAAATAGACATATTTAACAATGATTTTCTTAATCAGACATTTATTGAGCACTTGTGACGCCTTTAAATCAGCACTCCTTTTTGGTAATATACCTGCAACATTACAAGAGTCAGTTTCAGATGTAGTTAAATACCAAGGCAAACTGACGATCATAAACATGGTAAATGGGAACCTCAGATGACTGTTCCTTGATCTGACCTTCCCACATCTGGCATGAGCTCTTTCAGGTCATCAAGCGTTGGCTTCCTCTTCAGTAGCTTCTTGTAAAGGGCCACAGGGAAGTGGAGCTCCACAATAGTGAGATTGTAGATGGCCAGACCACAGATGACCCCGATGAGGTTGAACAAGTCAATGTCCTCAAACGTCTGCAAGGGACAGTCACTGATTGTCAAACATTTCATACAAGGCAGACTCAATGTGTCTCATGCATTCATTTATCTGGACGCAAACAACAAAGGCACATATATCCCAGTGTAGTTACAAACGCACATGTCTTATAAGGTACTAATAAAAAAAAAGAAGGGATGTTTATCTATAAATAATCTATATAGAATAAGAAAATACCTTATTAATGTTCATATCATAGGGTACACTAAGGATATGGCATTAAGATGTAACTTTTGTAAATTTTCGACTGCAGTTAAACATAGCCGGTGAAATGTCAGCATCAAACCGAGGTGAATTACACCACAAGTACCTTGTTTGAAAACCAGATGAGCCTGGACTCCTCGTAGTAACGAAACATCCCGTATTTGGGATCCAGCAGCTCTTTCATGATCAGGAGGAAGAACTCCTTTCTCACGCCTCCTGCATCGACTGCCTCCTCTCCCACGAAGATCACCTGCCACGAATGTCGCAAACATTAGAACAATGGCACACACTGAGTAATTTATTTCTTCTGACTATATTTGCCATCAACCCTGATTGGACATCCACATAAAACGTAAACATATTAACCCCCATATGAAGTTGATATAGCAAATATCCATAACAAAGTCCAATAATGACTCTCTTTTTAGCTCCGTTGTGGTTTCCACCAGCTCCCGAGGGCAATATCTGTCTCTTTAGCAGCTACATGCTCCACTAATGTTCACCAGCTAGTTGTTAACTTCCTCTGTGTACTACATGGTGCTGGGAACCATTATGGCAGCTTTTACCTTGAGTGGTTTCTTGTAGTCAACATTCTTGGACTTCCTGAGGACTTCCATGGTGTCTCCGACGATATTTTCCCTCCGAACAATGAGGATGAGGCACGGGTTGACAGATTCCACTGCTGGCATGAACATGGAGCTGAAGTTTTGCATCTGTGCCTGGTCCACTGCCATCTGTAAATAGAAGAATGATGAATGATGGCATGTTTACATGTTTCAAATCATTTGATAGCACCAGTCTGTGCAGTGAAACTAATCGAATGGAGGATATATCAACAAACGTGGAGAAAGAAACCTTCATTAAGTGATTTACTGTATTTTACTGTACCTGCATCTGTATGACAGCATCAGTCTGAAGCAGTGTGGTCTTTGCTTGGGCATCAAATACAAAGGGATACCTGCATAGAGTCACCACACCATCATGACCCTGAGGATACAGGGGCATAAATAAATGGTTCATACAGACACCTAATCACAGACAAATGTAATGGAAGTGAATGTAGAACTGAGATCAACAGCAGACTCACCATCGGATACATCTGCCTCTGAATCCATGTGACGTAATCATTTCTGATGTCTATCAGGTGATCCAACTCATGGATGTAGAATTTATCGTACTGAATGATGTGTCCTGCTCTCTCACTAACCTAAAGCAAAAGGAAAATATGGATGTTATCAACAGTTCTTCAAGGCGCTGTATTGTGTGCTGGATGAATTTAACAGCGGCGCGCGGTGTAACACAAAAGCCATGGATTTCTCACCGTGTGCAGGATCTCCAGGAGTCGGAGGGACGTGTCCAGGAAGCAGGTGAAAATTCTTTGCTCGGCTGAGGGAATGCCCACCTTGTGCATCTGAAGGAGATACACCACCACTTCCTTGTACAACTCGACCAGCCGCTGGAAGACTCTGGGCTCAAACGTAGACCACCAGTTTCCTGACGCAAATCAAACATTTTGTGGAGACAAACAGAAAAAGAAAAAAAAAATAAAGTCAGAGAAACCGTGCATCATGTGTGCCATAAAGGATAAATAATCTTCTTACCTAGCACCTTCAGTGGAGCCTCTTTCAAGCTGATGAGTGATTTGGCAAACGGGATGGCGATGGTTACATAATTATTTCGGTCACTGAAGAGAGGACATTCTGGAAGAGTGAGGTAGAGTCTCAGGGCTTCAATGTCTGGAGGAGAGTTGCTTAGTCTGGGTATTAGGTTCTTCTCCAGACTGGCAGCAATCTGAGGGTGACAGGAGAAGGTATGTACAACAGGTCTGCTATGATTCATGTAAAAATCCCTGATTGATGCAGTGTGATTAGAAGATGCTGGAGCATACTGCGACAATGACAATTCAGGTGCGGCAGGGTGCTAATGGTGTAAAAAGGCTGGACCTGGACTGGAGAAAACAAACTGCACCTGCTGTGTTTGTCCAGTTTAGTGTGGTTCATTTGGGCTGGTCTGAAAGCTGTCTATTTAACCCTGGTGCAGAACAATCACTGGACCGATATGGTTCATTTGTGGTGTGAAAGCAAGCAGATATGTGATTCCACAAGGATTTCAAATTACTGTTAAATCAGCTGACTGTGTTTTATAAGTATCACACAATATCCTATGAGGTTTAAGATGCTTGTATGGTGTTCATAAAGTAATAACTTTTACAGTTTACTATCGTGTTTTGATCAGTTTTATTATTGTGTTTACAAATAACCCTTCAGCAGACTACGTATGAACTGAAATTCTTTTCACCTTTGTCTTGAGCTCAGGGTATAAAGAGGACCATAAACATCATGGTGGGAATAATGATCTATAATGCTGTAAATCCTCATGGTGAAAGCATCATGCCAGGACAGTGTGCTGAGTAAACAGGGCTGAAATATGGGATTTCAGATTGAGCAGACTTTCTTTAATGTGTTATAAATTCTAATAACCAGTACAGATACATGTGTTTACTTGTTCTTTTATTATATGCACAGGTGTGAAAATGGTGTGTTAGAACAGTTATACACTATAAACAGAGTATCTCATATGATACTCTGTTCAAATCCAAACTAAATCCTGTTTGAAGTAACCCTAATTTTATTTCTACATGTATTGTTTGTTTTTTGTAATTTTGTAATTGTTCACATTATGATTGTCAATGCTGTCATGTTTTCAAAAATAAACAATAAATAAAATAAATCCTACAGTTTCCAGGCACTAAATCCACATTATATGAGCATCTTACAAAAGGCAAACAGTGACCAGATCTGGCCAGTCCAGTACAACCAGACTGTTAAAAAGAAACTGAAACCCAAACTAATTATATGAAAGCCAATAAGGCATAAAGCCATAAATTCAATGCTTTTACACCTACAGTAGACACTGTGTGATCCACTGTGTGAGTAATGTGTGCAGATAAACTGCTGTTATGTACACTTATTAAAACCATATGAAACAATACTGGTACACTTCTATGTAATTATTGCAATAAACTAGCAGGAAAATAAAGCAAATAATACATGGACACAACAACAGGATTTATTTGTGAGCACTGACCTGCTGAGTGACCTCAGGGTGATCTTGTTGAACCACTCTGTGATACAGGAGGCGAGCCATGTTCATATCCACCCCTGAACATTTGCTGCTGGTACTGTAGTGGTCTGGATGACTGTGTCAAAGAAACAGACAGTATATGAGAAGGTAGCATTACAAAAAGCCAAGCTACAAAGTCAAACAACGAATTACAAAGAGGGCAAAGAAGAAATCAAATAGGCAGAGCCCAACCTGGGATTTGATAATAAAGAATTAACACTTCAGGGCCTGACTAAGAAAATGACCTTATCTATAAGTAATTACCTCGTTGACAGAAAAGATCCATTGAGGCAGCTTGCTGAGGAGAACACGAGGTCAATCTCACTAAAAGAATCATAAAGGGCAAGTAATTAGTGCATGCACATTTCTATTAAGGAGTTATAGCATCATGACAACTTGTAGTATGTCTACAACAAACTAAGAGCAGCAATAACACCAATAGACCAATGTGAAGAGGGGACTTTACTTGGAGACTTCTAGTGGGAGTCTTCCTGGTGAGTGATTCAACCATTTTTGTATGATGTCCTCGTTTAAGGTGCAAATCTTTCTGTTGGGATCCTGTATCCTCACATCATCCATGTTCTGGAGCTTCTACAACAACAAAACATTTTAAAGTTAGAAAAAAGGGATTCAATAAAAAGTATGAACTTGTGTAAAGTTTAAGGAAAAGGCAAAGCGAAGAAATCGTGGTTTTTAAATGTGTTATTCACTTCAACCACGTAGCATCTTGAGACATTTTAGGCTTAAAACAAAATAGAAGAAGCACAACTTGAATGCAACCAAAATAAATCACAAGGAAGTGGGTGCTCTTGGCCCAAAGATAAACAGTGTTATAGAAGAGAGAGAGAGACCACAATCATGCAAAAAAACCCATACTGATTCAGTGTAGAACATGTATCAACCGTGCAGCATCAGGTGAAGCAGTCTCCAATAATTTGTTTGGGGAATTACATTCCCTCTCCTGTATAACACAGTTCTGTCATGTTAATAAGAAAAAAATCCTAGCATGGTTGTTAAAAAAAGTTGTCATCAATTCTTCTTTGTAACATCTCTAAGAAACATCAAGTCCTTTATTTATGAAAACTTACATTGGCAGTGAGATAGTGAGCAAAGCTCTGGTCTCCTCCAGCATAAATCCTCTTGACACAACAGCCCTGCTCTGAGTCTGCAATGCAAAGCAATAAATAAATGTTTGGATAAATAAGATGTTGGAATAACTTAAGAGAAGTAGAACATGCCATCTTAAAGCTCCTTCGTGTAATAGTTTAATATAGTAATAGTAAATCAACATGATATCTCTGCAATGTGAAACTGTTACTACTACTTCAGATTCCACTGAGAATGAACAACCAACCCGGTAGGGCCGAACAAACCAGGAATAAAACTTTAAAAACAGCTCACATGAGATACTCTGTTTATAGTATGATATATAGTCTAGTTATTATATCAGTTCTTTGCTGCTCTGAGTTTTGTCGTTTCTGCCTTCTAGTCCTCAGAAAATACCTGATGCAGCTTTAATTAGTGTGTCTCACCTGTTTCAGCATTGGAAGCTACGAAGGGTCCCTTAACGGGGGCGGGGCTTTTTCTGTTGCAAGTGGAGCGAGTACCAAGCTGCCCGTTGCCACCGAGCCCGAATGAGTACATCTTTCCAGAGGAGGGTGTGAAAGCCATCGTATGCTGCCTTATAACAGCACAGTCATTTGTTGTTTTATGACATTTCAATAAATGATGTCGCAAACAAATGTAAACAATATACAGTAAATTTTACCTTCCACATGATATCTGCGTGACTACATTTCCCATGAGCTCAAACACTTTCCGAGGATTGATTTCGTGGTTTGTAGAGTTATGTCCAAGTTGTCCGTATCCTCCGGCTCCGAATGTAAACACACCTCCTTCCTGTAAAATCAGCCACACCAGTTGTTCTCTCATGTTTCCCAAGAACTGCAAGGTCAACATGTTAGCAGACACCACAGCACACAGGGAGAAAGCATGTGGGATGATGTATGATGATGGATCACGTTAGAGATTTCACTACGGTTATGTATTAATAGGACACAGCCAGGCCTCGTCACAGTCTTAAGGCAGGGATCCACTACTATTAATTAAACTTTAGGCAAAAATAAATCAACTACTTCAATATCCAAAGGATGGTTCAGTTGGTAAAAGTCTTACTTTTTAACATTATTTAACATTATTTAACAAGTTAGTATCTTAGTAATATCTCAATAATGATATCTTACTAAAAGTGTAATTGTTTAAAGACCTGGGCTGAACTGAAGACTCCATTGTACGGCTGCAGCTATCAGTTATTTTAGTAATCGAGCTATAAGATAAGAAATACCTTAGCTTTATTCAAGAGCAAAGCCCCACATCCTATCTGCACCTGATTTACCGGCCGAACGGTTCCCTTTAAGGAAGTTGGAGTGTAGCAGGATTGTTAAGTATTTCCTGGTGTGTGAGAGGTATCTATGTCACTTTATTCATATAGTAATTTAGTTATATAACAGGGATGAGCGAGTACACCATCATCCGTATCTTTTCAACCAACTAAACTCTCTGTATTCACACTCAGAATGGACAGAGACAATTAAAATAGCCAAAACCCGATGTCTCCTGCATACATTTTCAACCCTGCGGAGCTGGAAGACACACCATCAGATAACTGGTGTGGAAAAACAAGCTTTAGCTGCTAACTAACTGGCTTTTCACAGTGAAGGATTGATGTTGTGTAACTATGGCAGGCTAGTTAGTTTACATCAGATATACTGTACAGAGTCGTCAACTGGTTTCAGCTTGAAATGATCCCAAACTTTGGACACACTTTCTCTCGCCGGTCTCTTCTCCTCGCTATTTTCTCTTTCTTACAACTTTGTGTGACAGTAATAACGCAGTAAAACACAGTGTGCTCTATAGCTCTATATAATCATATGGATGAAACGAAGCTTCGATGCAATCAGGTTTCAGCCCTACTCCATTGTAAGGCTCTGTTAAGTGGAATCCTTGTGACCCCAGATCTCAGGAATTATGCTGAGCAATAAAATATAATAGAAAAATCAGGAATGGTGGCCAAAATGATTTAAAAAAATAAGGCAGTGGATGTAAAAACAGTGATTTCACCAGCACTAATCTCACACCACTTTGAGTTAACGTAGCCATGGATTCCACACATAACACCACAATAATCAAAGAATCAAAAAGTATATAACTTAACTTGGTTAATGCCGCTGTGTGATCTTCTCCACAGGAGATGTAAATCACTCTCTGCGACCTAAGGGACTTCAGCAGGGTTGGGAACAACCGATCTGAAAAAGACCTTCTCAAAATGAGACTGATTTGAGGGTTTAAAGGCTCACAAGTACTTTAGGGTTTTGACCACCCACCATTGCTGTCATTGAGACCCAGCTGACCGAACTTGTTGCGTCCCCAACCGAACACCGCTCCTGAGAGAGTGAGGGCAAAGCTGTGAGCACCACCTGCTGATATCTGGGCAAAAGGGATGCCCTGAAGAGACTGAATGATTTGGGGTGTGGGAATGCTCTGTCCGTTTAATCCTAGACCAAGTTGTCCATACCGATTCTGGCCCCAGGAGAAGACCTGGCCCCCTATGAAAAGAAACAGACATGACACGGATTGTCTTAACACGTGGAGAAAAAAAACACAATAAGCTGAATGAATATGTAAATATGCATCATGTGGGTAGAAACCATCCACACCTCTTGAAAGTGCATGAGAGTGCCAGTACCCACAGGCTACCTGAGCAATTTGTACATCTGACAAACTCTTGATGTTTCTGGATTTTTTTTTTTAACAGGGAGAAAGAAAAACAACATTATTTTATAGATCCCATCATATGCACCAGAATTTAATTCAGACAACAAAGATATGTTGATTCATTTAAATCACTGTGCGAACTATACCGTGGCATTCGGGGGGTGCTTGACTGATGACAACAAAGAAGAGCGATGAATGATGGCGATTCAGCATGCAGACTGAGTTTGACTGGGAATGTTTTCACCGAGTTAAAGAGAGTAAAGTTTATGATATTGCGCCGCTACGCTTCAAATGGTGAATGCAAGAATACCGTGAGAGTCGGTATCTTGTTTGAATTAGATCACCCTCATGCATGAATCATCAATAATCGCCTAATTGTACACATTATCCATGATTATAAAGACACAGAAAGATGGAAATACATGAGAAAAACAGCATATACTCAAAATGCCATCATGTTATCAGGGTAGTTCATGAGAAGAGAAGCCAAGCTGTAGTTCGCACCCTGATTTAAATGTTATAATTACATGTCTTTTCTTACAGCAAACAGCAAACGAACGTATTGTCTGAATCTACCTAGGCACGCGAACACATTCTTCAAAGTTATTGAGGCCCAGCTGCCCATCGGAGCCCAGACCCCAGGAGAAAACCTGCCCTTTGTCGTTCAGGGCGAGTGTATGGCACCCTCCACACGACATCGCCACTATGATCTGTGCATCCAGAGCCACAACCTGCTCTAATAGGAGACAAAGAGAAAAATGTTTTACGTACTGATTTCAAGTGTTATCACAAATGTATCTCATTAAAAATCACCAACCTGGTTTCTTCCTGGACTTATCATGCCCCAGCTGTCCGAGGTCATTGCAGCCACAGGTGTACACCGTCCCATCCTCCAGCAGGAAGGCTGTGTGCCTGTGGCCACACCCCACGTCGCACACTTGCTTCCCGTGGAAGAATTCACACTGTCGTGGCTCCACCACAATCTCTTCATCAATCCCACCCAAGCCCAGCTGTCCGTAGGAGGCATTTCCCCAGCACAGCATTGTAGCTCTTCCCCTTTGGCTAAACACGCCAGCAGGACACCAGTCTCTGTGGAAGAACACACACACACACACACACACACACACACACACACACACACACACACACACCCCTCAGCTGATGTTAACCTCACAGATAATATAACGTCTCATAGTTTGGAGATCTTCAGTTCACCTAGCAAGGCAGCCAAACAGCTCAATATAGAGGACATAGAACAGTTCTGCGTGTGGTGAGCTAATTACTGTATTTACTGTATTATGAGAATAATATAATATAAATATAACATATAAATATAAAGACAATGAACTCGTGGCCGGCCGGGTAACATGTAAACAGATTAGCAAAGTAAGCTACGGTTAAATAAACGTTGGTACAACGGGAGGAACGTTGGCTGCCAGCGTCAAATGACACGACTTCCGTTCCGAGCGGCTGGAATTTCAAAATAAGGCACACGTCGTTTAAAGGGGCTTTTATTGGCATGTACAAGTTTACATTGTTGATTTTATATATATATAGAGACTATTAAGAACAAATATAATAATTAGGAAGAAAAAATTAAAGTAGACTTATACATAAATAATTATGGATTATTTTAAAATGTGATTATTTAATGTTTTACATTGTTATTATTGTTATTGTTATTATTATTACAATGTTATTCTGTAACATCTGCCCACACTTATCACAGTCACCTTTTGCACTATTTAATACCTGTAATGTGCAGTTTTACATACATATATAATGCACATTATTAATATTAGACCTGCACTGTATATTTATAGCCCTGTCTATAGCAGATCATCTAATACTTCTGTCCTGTGCAATTATTTATTTTCACACCATGCCACAACCTCCTGATATCAAAAACTGTATATAGTGTACATATTTATAACTCTTATTCTATTTTTATTTTATTTTTTTCATCTGTTGTGAATTGTTCTGGGATCAACACATCTTACATTACATTGCAACGAATAAATAAAACAACAATACAACAAATAAGAGCTCAAAATACTGAGATAAAAGTAATTACCGATTAAATGAAAACGGAAGCACTCCTCCGGTACCGCGGACAAACACGTTAACGTTACTTTACCACGATGATTACAAGAGAGGCAGCTCATCAAGTTAATTTACTATTATTTAACGCAACAATACCACAGTCAGCAATACGGGTTAACGATTTAAGGAGGCATTTAAACAACAAAACAAACAATAAATACGCTCGACACGTGGTGAGATTACATTAATACAGCGCCATAATAACAAGCAAACGTTAGTCAGTCGGTGCACTTCTTAAAACATAAACCTAAAACACATGTGACAATATATATTTTAACAAATTACAACCAGTAAATCTCCTATAACGTTAATAACAAAAACCTCTTACCGAACCCGCCGGATCCGGGACAATGCTACCGTGTTTCCCGGTGTTTAGGAGCTCACACACCGGCACATCTTCAGTGTTTAATATCAACAACCGACCGAACCGCTCGTTGTAGAAATTCCTGCCCAATTCCGGTAACGTTACTCCGGTTTTCTGTCAACAACGACTGCACGGCGCTACCGACGGAGGCGCGCATCATGCCAGCTCTACTGCACTGCGAACATCCGGTTTTTGCTTTTTAAAAAATAAAACTTTTTGTGTAGCAGCGCGGCCGGTTTCTTGTACATAACCGCGCAACAATGCCACCCCCGCTGCTCGCTATTAAGACTATTACCAGGATACTCTCAACACCTCATTAAAAACGTGTATTTTTAATGTGGAAGCGTGTGAGTCTAAAAGTGTGAAGCTTTAATCTGAAGGCGCAACCATTTCACCGGAAGTTGTACCGCGCTTGCGTACACTCAACTTCATGAAAGGGGAAGAAATGTCGCGACTCATCCACAATGTTCTAGATGGGGCGTACTCGCGCATGCGTGTCTCTGCAGCCATACATGTACACAGATGTACACATATGGATGTGTTATTAGGATAAACAAACAATGACACTCCTCCCACAAACACTGGTGTATATTTTTATATGTAGATGTATAGCTGTAAGTTAAAGTGTGAGAGATAGACATTGGTGCATGTACAGAAACTTAGCAATGTTCTCAGTGCTCACATTGTTATAGATCATCTTTAATTAAAATACATAGAATATATAAATACCCACGAAATAAACACTTATTATTATTATTATATATTTTAAATAGCAACATTAATATTGTATAAAATATCGTTGTTTTTATCCTACTAAACATTTTGCAAGTGTCAGCTGGAAGGATCTGGAACTTATTTGTTGGACTTTATGGACATTTGTCAAATCGTATTACTCAACCTGATGTGTGGTAAATAAAGTAATGTGCTGTGTGACATATTGGCTCCCTCTGGTGGAAAGGACAGGAAGTCTTGTCTTTGGTGATACCACAGGACAGCGATAGAAACATGTAAACAAAACTAACTGGTAGTGTAGCCTCTGCCACAATATCAGGTATTCTCAACCTTAAGTGACAGTATAAATACAATAAAAGGTTTGGGAATCTTACTTAAGTAAATGAACATTGTTGTCATTAATGTACTGAAAGTAAAACTACTTGTATAGCTGAGTATCATTAAATAAACTATTGGATTGTTTATACCGATGCATTAACAAGAAAGCAGCATTTTAATGTTGTAGCAGGTTAAGGGTATTTAATTTGGGTAGTTTATAACACTGTATTTATAGACTCATCTTGTGTAAACTGAGATGAAAGCTTTCAAATAAATGTAGAGAAGCAAATAAAGAGTTCAAAATCCCCTTTAAAATGTAGTAAAGTAAAAGTATAAGTACGTCAACAACATTGTAAACAATAACAGGGTCAGTATGGGCAATATGAGAGTATGTGTGGTATGGACAGGAGGAATCACATAAAAGGGAAAAAAGTATATATATATATATATTATAACATAATAATCATAATGCCAATAATTGTCTAATGTATTAAATAAATAAATATATATATATATACATACATACACACACAATCTAACACATTATGGTATGACTTAATAATCATTCCAATACTTTACATTTAATTGTATTTCAAATAGGACAGTGAGGAGGGGGGACAATAGGCAGTATTTATTATAATTATTTATCTATTTATTCCTTTATTTGATATATATATAATTATATATATTATTAAATATGTTAGTTTAGGTTTTAATTTTAAAGGAGACCATGCACTGGGGAGGACACCTGACTGCTGGGGAGACAGTCTTTTTATTGAGGAGCAGCAGTCTCCCTTTGTTGTGATTATTAAGTTTAAATACGTACATGTGCAACCCATCCTGGGGAGAGGAGGGTCGGCCCCCAGCCAGCCACCTCAGTAAATTATTGCTTTAAAAATAGGAACACTTTTATTCTATTGTGTCTATAGGTCAGACAAACAACACAATCTTAAGGTGTAACTGGAATTGGACAGGTGGCGACACTCTTTCCAACTGTTTCACAATGCTGCTTTTAAAATGTGAATCACAGCCAGTCGTAACTCTTTCCTTTATTCTTATTTGCAGGTGACGGGGAGATTCATTTTAAACTGGAAACTACGTTATCAAGAGCACTGAAAGGCGTAGTATGCGTAACCACACGCCTGTCTGCTTTATTATCATCTTTCAGGTGTAGTGCTCGTTGAAATGCTGTGTATCCTGTACTGCTGGTTCTTTGTGGGTGTTTTTCTAGTGTGACTTACGCACTGTGGTCCGATCTCTCAGAGCAGGAGGAACTTATTTAGCAATAGGTCACACCTCAGCTCACATGCAGGACAGAAACCAAGAGAAACAAACATGTTGAATTTGCTGGGAGTAAGTAAAAAAAAAAAACTCTTTATACAGTATTTTATTTTTAATAGCATTAGTGTCAACTAATTGAAGTTTTTAGTCTAATGAGGACTGTGTGATATTGACCGGTGTTTTCTTTTAATGTGCTCAGGTTGTTGCTGGCCTTCTGTTCATCATAATCTGCTTTTCAAAAGGACTCAAAGATGTAAGTGAACCTTTACAGTGTGTCTTCCTGTTTGTGGTATTTTAAAATGTAAAGAAATAAGATGTAAATCAACCTTTTGAACATAGTAATAAAGTTAAAGTGGCGCTGCTGCTGCTGCTGCTGCTGGAGGAAGTGAGCAGTCTTACCAAGAAGGAAATAAAGTGGCATTTTTCTGAAATGATTATGATCTTTAACAGGGAAATAAATCTCAAAAATCACAACCACTGGAATCATCTGCCAACAACAAGAAGGTGAGTGATTATCCAAAGATAAATGCTGTCATTATTTATAATAATTTAGATGATATATGTTAAATTTATCTCTTCAGCAGAAGATTCTGGATGAGGGAGATTTCCACTTGTTGGCCAAGATCCTTTCAGTTGGATTGGTGGATGCGGATCCAAACTATCTCCAGCATCTTAAAGCCTACAGAGACCTGCACGGTGGATGAGCTCCTTCATATATAAAAAAGAAATCAACGCATTTACAGAAATCAGCGGACAAATCTGTTCCTGGATATACAGATGATTTGTGATGGCATCGAATCGAGGCTCTTCAGCATTGGATTACCACAGCTCTAGTTACTCTTGCAACCCCTCCAGATGTTCCATGATTAGTGGAAAAATATGCACTTCATTCAGGTCAAAGAGGAACACTGGTAATGAATTAGGTATGATCCCCTGCAGAGAAAGGAATTCAGTGGTGCTTAATACGGATGTGATTGATGGCAGATCCTGACTGCTTCATTTATTGTTTAAATGTATCATCTGAAATATGTGAATACGTGGGCATACGTAGCCTCTGATATATTTTATTCAAGGTGCGCCCGTTTTTAAATAAGAAAATCTATGAAATGAAAATATAGAAACAGAAGATAGTGGTACTTGATTTATTACGCTTGCTTTGTTGTTTAAGTTACATTATTCAAGTGTTGTGCGGTGTTAAATACTCCCACTGTAATATCTTATTTTAACTCAAAACTTGTTGAAACATCAAAGATTTTAAGTTACATGAACTCAAAACATACTGACTGATACTGATTATGCAGCTTTTACTAGTTATTAACCATATATATCACTTTGTTTTGTAAAGCACAAATAAAATTAAAATCTCTTTTAATTACTAAAGATTCTTAATCAAGACAACTTTAAACTTTAAATTAAGTTAGTGTTACTTAAAATGGTCGATGTAATCAATTTCAACAATGTTGTGAGTTAAATTAAGTAACATTTACACCGGCTGTTGTTGGCAGTTTCAGTGCAATGAACCCCTTTAAAATGAGACTGTAACTTGTGTCCAACAGCTGCTACTGTTGATTGTAATGGAATAATGCTTGCCAAGTTGTATCTAAATGCTAAAGAGTAGTTTCTAGTTGCTAAACAGTTCTCCATTAGCTAAAATGCTGAACTAATGCAACATGTAGTAGTAGTGGAGAAGAATCATACTGAACCATATTTAAGGTTTGCTAACTTTGGTAAGCCATTATAAGCCACTGGTCGTACCAACAAGGGCTGTAACAGCAAAACCCCTGAGTGTATTTAACTGAGCAATGGTGCATTTTATTGCTTATAAATTAAACTTTTCATTTGTAAGAGGAAGAATGTGTTAGCTCTTCTTTCAGTCTCTCTTTAAGGGATTATTTCTGACCATTTTTATGTTGCAGAGAGGCTGAATCACTTCGCTTTTGCTGTCATGTTGTTCTCATCTAAAGGAGAGAGAGAGAGACAAAGAGAGAGATTAGAGACAAATGAGCATGTGATCTGTTGTTTATCTCCAAACTTAATGTCTCTTACACCAGACATGGCTGTTGAGTTTGTCCCCTAGCACGTAGAGCAAGGTCACCACTGTCATGTTGAATAGGAAGAAGCCCACCAGACCGGGGGTGCTGAAGTACCCGAGAAGGGGATACACCCAAATCCCAACTGACAAGTACACCCATATAATCCTGCAGAACATGTTTAGAGAGAGAGAGAGAGAGAGAGAGAGAGAGAGAGAGAAGAAACCCTCAGTGTATCTGTCAGATAATCATGTACTGTCGTGTTTCAGAGAACTAGTGTGTCCAGTGCAAGTATTCACTGGTTCCCACCCACTGAAAGATTGTAACAATAAAACACACATGATAAAATATCTCATCCACAACACGCAGTTTATTTATGGTTTTTATGAGGACCTGAAGGCAGCATTATAGTACGTGAGCCAGAACTATTGAAGTTTCAAAGGACCCTTTTAGTTTCCCCCTCAAGCTGTTTGCATTATGAATAGCTCTGGACGAGTCTAGACTAGTTTACAGGAGGAACATTTAGACACTGCTGTGCTTCAAAAGGGTGTAAAATAAATGGTGTGATATTTGTGCGTTATATTCCTGTTAAAGTTTTGCTTTGTCATGATTCTGCTGTGCATGCTGACTCAACACTTACCAAAATAAGTAAGACAAGCCCACAACTCCCAATGCTGCCAGCGCATGTTTGGTCGGTGGGTAGATGTGAGGCTGCACCAGCATCTCTCCAAGTAAAACAGGAAGGACGAACGTGTGCTGAGAACACAGCGGAGAGATAACTCATTACGTAATGACAGGAGAGAATCTGGATTATTTCAATTTTGGGGCTAAAGATTGCTGAAAATGCAAATTTACCTACCATAGCATGGTTTATCCAGGGGGGGAAGAAGGTGTCAATACTGGCTGGGTAGACTAATTCTCTGTCATAGGCAAAGATGCTCCAGAAAAGTAGAACAACAAACTAAATGAAAGAGCATAGACGAGTTAATGTGTTGCATTTTTATGATATTTTTTTTGTAAAATGTAGGAATATCCAAAATGTGTTTCTCACCATGCCCACAGGGAAGGCAAAGACAGAGAAGAGAAGGTCTTTACATTTGTTCAGAGTGCTCTCGGACTCCTCAGGTTGTAGATCATTCACTGCCGCCAGTCCAAAGAATGACATTTGTAACAGCTGAAATATTAAAAGCAGTATCCTTGTTTTCCAGTATCCTGCAGTAGATAGTATTGTAAATGCATTTCTACTATTATAATATATGTAATGTACTCACCAAATTCAAAAAAGTGAGGTACTTCCATGGTCCTCCGTAAACAAAGATCCCTGGTGGTAACTCCTCTCCATCCTTAGCAGCGAGGCTCTTTACAACAAAAGCATACCAGCTGAATACTGTGATGTGGTACACTTTCCTCAGGGTTGAAGTCATACTAACGTAAACTTATAAGACAGGGAAAAAACTATTTTGAAGTTTTACTCTAAAGTGTGAGTTTTCCCTTCCAACCTGAGGTACTTCTGGCAGTGAAGGCTCTATAAAGATTAGTGTAATTCGGGCACGAGCTTACAGTATCAAGACATTTGCGAGCAGTGGAGGTGCAGTGACACTTGCACACAAGAGGCCCACTGTTTCTTATGAAGCACAGGAGTCATTCTTTCATAACTGACGCACGGAAGCATGTGACTTCATTCCTAATGAGCGCATAATCGGTTTCATAGTGTTTTGCAAGAGAGAAGCCCCTCCGAGTTAAGTAAGTACCATAAATGAGTTCAAGTAGAGGAAGCAAATTAGTATCATTTGACAAATATACTTGAACTATGTATATATTTAAACACTGTTTTAGGCCTATTCTATTTTGCATTGTGCCTTTCATTATTTGTTATTGCCTTTTGTAGTATATTGCCTGTTGTGCCTCCGTTGTTGTACATTGCCTTTGTAAAGCACTTACTGTATGTCTGTGAAAAGCGTGATATAAATACGTTTTACTTACTTACTTGAACTGATTCTTAGAGGATAGATTAGACCAGAAGGTGGCAATATGGTAAAAGGTTTTGGATCTGTGCTGGAGATCCAGAGTTGATTCTGTGTTGCAAGGCCATAACCATGAAGTCAACGTGGTGTCAGAGGGCAAGGGACAATGAATTATTACATAATAATAATAATAATAATATATTTTTCCTGTATATATTTACAATTTAAAAACAAATTTCCTGACATTCTAACATATTTAAAAATGCACTAACACAACTTTTTTATTCATGTTTTACAGTAATGTGGTGGCCAACAGGAGCCTGTACATTTGAATTAGACTGTTGCAATGAAATAGCGTAAATGACACTCATATTACATTCTAGTTTTCCACTTTTTAATACTTTTGAGTGAGTAATGAAATAGAAAGACGGTGCAGTATTTGAGAATGATTGTACATACCTGCAGCTGCAGAACTGCAGTACACTATAACACTGGTACTAGAACTTGATTGGGCATTTTGAGCGTATTTACATTATATTTATATTATAGTGCCTTGTTGTGTGTAGAATCCTGAAGTGTCCCTGAGCAACACATAGTAGTCGACCTTGACCTCTGACCTTTTGCTGTCAAATTTGGGAGATAAAAAAAATACATTTTGTTTCTTGTAGTTTAAATTAGGTCATGAGGTAGAAATACAGCCCTCGCACACACAAATGCACACACATACACTAACATAGATTAGTTCTGCTAAGGCGAGCACCGTCTTCAAGAACTATCAAGCTAATTATTATAACTTAACTGATGTTTGAAGGTCAAGATAACCCTAAATGCCCTAAATGCATCATGTAATCAATCATGTGTTCATGGATTTGCATGGTGGCGCTGATACATTTGGCCTGAGGGTGGTGCTAGAGGAAAGGCCATTGTGGTGAGACACTGAGGGGATTTTTTGGGATTTCTTGTGTAAGTCATGATTTGATATCAACCATGACAGGTTGCCAAGTACAAGTTGGTCACATGCGATCTCTTCCTTAAGCTGCAGAAGAGAAAGACATGTTTGTTAATTCACATTGGGCAACTCACTTTCAATCATGTCATAAATCAAGAATGTTATTTCTGCAGGTATTTAAAACATAATACTGATGCTTCTTGGAAGGAGGGATGAAAAACAGAGTAGGACATTGTTTACAGAAGACATGTCACAGTAGGAAAAGACAGGTGTAAGTAATAAAATCATGGCTGGATTCCATGTAGCTGCTTCAGTTTTAGGGTATGATGCATGCTGGCTCACTGTTACACTGTCATGGCTTACTGGTTGAAAAGATTGGATGTTAATTAAAGTTACGAGCAACACCTGTTCTGTTCTTCCTATTTTTGGCCCAATTTAATTAACCGAACCAGTAGGTAACTTCCTTCTGTCAATGTCAGGCACAACAGGAGCCAGAAAAACACACAACATTTTGAAGAAGTTTTATTTACCAATGGCAAGTGTTGCTGTATCATAAGTCCATTATAAAAGTGTAACTTTCACAGCACAATTCTACATACTGTTCTGTAAATTCTTTGCAGTTTCAGATTGTCTTTGTTTTACTGTACAGAAATGACAAGTTTGGATTTAAAAGGCACCTTTTCAGAGACAATAAACGGGTTGGTTCCAGCAGATTACAAAAAATAACTTATCCACAGTGGAATGGAGCCATATAGGCAGCTTTGGCTTTACATTTAAACACTTAAAAAGCAACATATCTTTCCCTATGTGTTTGTTTCAAAAAGCATCTAAATAAAAATCATTTGGGTAATTTGGGTGAACAGACCATTTAAGACTTGGAAAATTGACCGTAGACTCATACTGGATAATGTTCAACAGAAACATTAAACATACTATATGTTGTAAAATTATTTAGACATTATATTATGTTTAAGCCACAATTCTGCTTCAATCTTAGGTTTGTTCATCATTTCAACACCATGTTTGATTCAGATTACAAACCATTAAAGTTACTATTTATTTACACCAGAACAATAACAGTCTGAATTTATATATCCACGTGTTTCACAAACACGTTTAATTATCAACATCTTTGTTTAACATGCATATGAAATACTACAATATAAACCACAGTGTTACAAACTCAGACTACTTTAGATTATGTAATACACTTTACACATCACATTATGTCTTAAAACCAGCTAACATTAATGTAATGGCTGTCAGAGCTGTAAAAAAAAACAGGACAGACCTCATCACAGAAACAACCTGTTGCAAACATTGCACTTTACCCATGCAGTCAGTAAAAACACATTTCATCATAGTCTCAGTCCATGTACTGTTCACACTCGGTGATTCACCCACAATAAGAAGCCCTTTGGTTGTAGCACGTGTAATTCAGACATCAGGTTTGTATTCATTTGTGTTACGAGTACTTTTACCCTTTGATACGGGTCCTCGGCCTCTTCTTCGCATAACATGCCTTGTTTGCAGAGAACCCCGCTGTGAAATCCCATTTTTATTAAATGTCTTTGGTGAGAAAATGTCTTGGTCATCATTTCAGCTTTTTGTGTGATTTTTCTTCCAGCCACTGTATGCACTGTTTATCTTCTCAACTTTCTTTGGATTCTCTTTAAGGTGCCATCTGTGGAAGTAACAGAGACACAGGATGATTTACTACAGGGGGCAACAAAACATACATTCAAATACGTAATATTAAGTGGTGTTAATGCATTTATACCTCAAATCGACTGTAAACTTTCCTCTCCTTCCTCATGCTTTGAATCCTCTCCAGCAGCTTATCGCGATCTTGATTTGACTTAGGCTGGCTCCTGCTGAGTGATCTGATCCCTCTGTCTTTCTCCCTTTTGGCATGTTTGTCAGCTTCGTCTTCCTTCTCGTCGTCAGTGACGGGAGACTCTTTGGTAGCTTCGTTCCTGCTTTGGCTGTTCGCAGAAATCTGCTCCAGAAGCAGCTTCGTATCGTCTCTGAGGTTGCTGCTAGAGAGCACGTTGGCTGTTGATGAGTGATAACGAGACTGGGTTGGTTTTGGCTGCTTGGACTGTGGTGATGGAGGAACAGCTTCTTCTGATGTGATCTCTGGATGTCCGGAGCAGTTGTTTTGCCTTACTTGGTCGTTTTTCTCGCTGCAGACCGATTCCTGTGTAGTAGCTTTATTAACCTCGTCTGTGGCCTCAGTATCATCAGTTTTCTTCTTCCCATGGTCAGGCATTTCAGGCACTTGGCTTACTTCATTCTGAGTGTGCGTAGTACTGTTTTCAGCAGGCACGGGTGGCTCTGAGGGTTGGGTTTCAGACATTACAGATTCAGGTGTTTTGCATGGCAGATCAGGTTCTGTTGGGACTTTTGAGGTAGGTTCAGTTGGGCTACAAGTTTCTGTTGATGGGAGCATTACCGTTTCGTTTGAGTCTGTTGTAACCTGCTCGGGAAGAGAGCTAGTATCTGAGGGGCTGTAAAAGGCAGGCAGTGTTTGTTCAGCCTCAGGGGACACAGCTGATGCAACTGACTCAGTTAGAGGAGAAGAACATGATACTGTTTCAGCAGGAGGGGGAGCGACAGGTCTTGTCAGGTTAAGTTCAGAGGGAGGGGTCACTTGTATTAGCGCTTCTGGAGGAGATGCAGCTGTTTTTGACTGTGAAACATCAGTTAAATCTGGATGGACAGGAGAGCTTGTTTCTGCTGGAGAACGCTCAGGCGGAGGGTCAGCTAGGGAGGGAGTAGGAATAACAGTCTCATTTTGATCAGATCTGGATTTACTTTCCAGATCAGATACATTAGGTAAACATGATCCAGGCGATGACGGGCTGGAAGGTGTGCTATCAGCTTTGACAACAGCCTTTTGAAAAGAGTTGTTTTCTGATTCAGAAACGTCTTTTTCTAAAAGTACAGGAGCACAAAGTTCTCCAGTGTTTGTCTCTGGCTGTAATGAGGATGTGTTTGGCTCTGAACCAGCAGCACATGAGTCCTGACAAAATTCAGATTCCACATGTGTAGAGTCAACTGCTGAAGGCGTCTCAGATGACGTCAATTGAGAAACAGAATCTGGATCAGCTTGTGCAGACTCAGAAATTTCCTCCACCAATCGAGAGGGCTCTGGCACTAAGGGGCTGACCATTTCCTGTGCATTTGGGGACAATATGCTGGAAGTTGGGGTTGAACTCGAGTCCTCTGGGGTAACATTACAGGATATGGTCTCTGCTGGGGCGGAAACAGGAGAGGAACTAGAGGGTGAAGGACATGGACTGATCTGTGAACCAGAATCTGGCTGAATGTGATGAGTGGAAGAGCTTTGTGCTGATGGCTTAGCAGAGCTGAATTCTGATCCAGTGTGTTGTTCAGATAGCAGCGGAGGGGAGGAGATGTTTGTTTCTAACTCAACTGATTCTGGACTTTGGGTGTTAGAATCCAATGCAGAAGATGGTGGTACCTCCACTGACCTGGGAGTGAGTGAACCAGACTCCTTTGAGGTAGAACCACTTTCATCAGTACCTTGAGCAAGAGAAGGAAGATTAACAGGAGTAGTACTCGTTGGTGTAGGTGGATGACTGGAGCTACCCTGTTTTACAGCAGGATTTGGTGTTTCTGGTGGTTCACTCGGAGGTGCTGCTGATGGGCTGTTCTTCAGCTCTATCTTCACTGAATCAGTTGAAACTGTGGTTTGTTCTTCTTTACAGCTTTGGCTGTTATCCTGACTTTTCTCCTTGTCAGTCTCATCACTGACATCTAAGGATAGACTGACTGACTTGCGTGCTTCTGTGGATACTGTTTTCCCTGCATCTTCTGCAGGCACAATTTTCTCTGACACACCCTCAGATATTGTAGTATCAGCCATTTTTTCTGAGGTTTGTTGTGGTACAGGCTCCTCCTTTTTATCAGTAGTGTTGATTTTCAGTTCAGGTTTCATCGGGACCCTCTCTTTGCTCTTTTCAGCTTCTGCAGCCTTAGCAGCTTTGCGTTTCGCTGCCAACTCTTTGAAAAACATC